AAAGACGAGCTATCAGTGGAAAATATGCACTATCAAATGTTGAATTAGAATTTGATCCACTCGATAGACTTGAATTAGAATTTGGAAATTTCGTACCCGGAGAAAATAGTTTAATAACAAGTGGAGATACACGTTCTTTTAATAAATAACGAAATTCACTATGACAATGAAATATTGGTGCATAATGGGTTAAAATTGTTTCAATTAATTCAAGAATTAATGTTCGAGTTATTTCTGTTAAACCTGTTAGCCATATGGGTTGATCACCGTTTATCAAATAACATAAATCTTGAAATAATAAATAGGCATCACGAGCATAGGGACGCAATGTATCAACGCTGTTCGATTGGTGTTGTTTTGAAGAATCAGAATCTTTATTCGAATGATCTAAATAAAAGAAACATTACTATAATAGAGTTGTTCTAAGTGTTCAAGAATACTTTCCGTAACGCTATGAATTATTCTACGATTTCATAGAACAATTTATACATGAGTATATTAAATTACGACTTTTCTGTAAGTTTACAATTAAAAGAATTTTCATTAGACTTCATACGTCTCGAAATGAGCTCATGAATTTGAGTAAGCCTGTAAATCGACTATCACTTCTCTTCCACTTCATATACACGAAAAGCAAATCACAGGGAATACAATTTTTTCGGTTGTTAAACAAGCTTTTCGGCAGCAGCCTGATAGTGACTTGACTAGATCATTGTATAAGTAAATATTTCTTACCACCGGCTGGTGCAGCTTGAACATCTTCTTCAATAACACGATCATAAACAGCTGTTACAAGTTGTCGAACAGCAGCTATAGAAGTATTTACAATTGTTAGATCTTTACTGAAGCATAATCGAAATGTAATCACAAACAGCTATTAGAACGAATGGATTCAAATAGATCGATTAATTAATTAATATTTATTTTACCGTTGCAAGAGTACTATGAACAACTACAGATGTTGTATTAACAAGTAATAAAACAGTTTGTAAAACTTTTAATTCTTCAGTTTGTAATTCACATAAAGCACTTAAAACATTAACAATTGTAGCTGCAGATGCCTAAATTAATAGATAGATTGAAGAAAAAAAATATATAATTTTTATTTTCTATTCGTACTTGATTAACAATATTATGTTGAAGTAACTTTTGTATAGATGTTAAACATAATTGAACAATTTTAACTTGTTTAGTATCACACCCTAACACAAATGGTTGAAGTAAATCGACACTAGCATCACGCATTACTAAAATACATACATATATTTCGGAAATTTTTCTATTAGTTTTATGATTTAAATAAAATACCTGTAATCAAACTATCTTTCATAGTACTATATTCCCGTAATTTCATATTGCATGCTTCTGCTGCCTATAAATATATACATATTGGTTTTAAATAAAATAAAATAATAAAAATGTTCATACCTCTTTAATAGGTGGATACTTTTTTTTCGTTTCATTTGATAATTGACGAAGATCGCTCGATAAGTTATTTATTAGTTTTTGTAGAATCGTATGGCTATCACTTGATGCGGTAGCCATGATTAATGCTCTAGAATAAATTGAAATATAAATATTAACACTTTTTACGTAACTGAAGGCAAACTTAGAGAATTCTTATAGTCAAAAGTCATTATCCATGTTTTGCGCTGTGAGCCACATCACTTGCTCCATCGTTGGATATGATTCAACCGAAAAAGGATTGGATAATTTATATCTATTAGTCGTCAACAGATGGAGATACATATCGAAATCATTCGGTTTCTCGTAGTCAATAAGTCAAGTTTTGTTTTCAATGAATCGTCTCAAATTAATAGTTACACTTCTATCGAGTATTTCTAATATACAAGTTAGAATTGGGTTAAATCACTTTACATTATAAGAATCTTTTTGTTGTCAGCTGTTCGTTGATTAGTGATCAATCCGCTGTATGATGTTCATAATTATTCATACTTTTTTGAGCGATAAACTTGATTTTGATTTTCAATAAAACCTTAAGAGACAAAATATAAAAACTTTTACGATAGAAATCAAATTATCTATTGATGAATATAATATGTTCACTAATTGAAATATTAGTTGGATAATTCAATTATGTAAGTAAATTCTATGCACATTTTCAACATAGTTTAGTCTTTCTTGATGACTTTTTCAGATTCTATTCAGGATAATCATACAAAAGATGAAAGAATTTCAAGGAGAGAATACTTTGTTGCTACACTTAACATTTTATTAGCCTTTAAATATATTAGTTGACATAATCGATTTTACATCTCTCTACTGGTAAGTATAGAGGAATGCGATATGCTTGTAAATGTAGCTGATAAACTTAAGGCCCCCCCCCCTCAAAGGTCGATTTTCGCCAAAGAAAGTCCAAATCGGCTGAAAGTTTCAGGATATGTTGGGACTATAGCTGGTAGTCTACGATAAAAATCTCAGCCTGAAATATGCAAGTTTAAGAAAGTTATACGGTGAACACTGGTCAAAAATGACCCATTTTCCATCCCAGTTATTTTGCCTTCAACTATGTTTTTTCAAAAATTTTTTTTACCATTCGATAGAGCATGCAAAGATGCAGGGCATGACGTTCTTCGACTTTTTTAAAAGTCCATCTATAAGTCAAAAAATTTTGCACAAGCAAAAGTCCTTCAAAAAAGGCCAAAAAACTGCATGCAAATTTTGTAGGCGACCTTTTTTGGGCACAAAAAAAACGTTTTTCAAAAATCGGAGAACGTCATGCCCTGCGTCTTTGCATGCTCTATCGAATGGTAAAAGAAAGTTTTCGAAAAAACATAGTTGAAGGCAAAATAACTAGGATGGATGTTGGAAAAACATGATTTTGAGAAAAACGCAAAAACATTTTTTCGAAATCTTTTTGCTATTTTTTAAAATTTTCTGCTATTTTCACGCGTGTTTTGAGGAAACTGACCTAACTTTCGTACGTAACTTTTAATTCTGCACACACTGAGCGCTTAATTAATTAATTAATCAGTCATTAGAGATCAAAGACCTGAATATACTGCTGTTTTTGACATAGAGGACCTCTCAAAGATCACTAAAAATTTCGGTCAAAAAATGGTCTTTGGAAAAAAAACTATAGTGATTCTGAAAGAGGAGAACATGGGCTATCACCCCATGGTGTTATCTCAATTTTCGATTTTTTGACGAAAATCGACTTTTTTTGAGGGGGAGGGGCCTTAATACTGGATAGTATTCGGCAGTGTATCAAGTTACAGTTCGAATCAATATGAATCTGCCATGCTGAGAACTTTACTTCATTGACTTTGATCTTGCGTCTGATTGCTAAAAATAATGACTACTGATTATGTAAAATAATATTTAGGCAATTTCTTGACAAATACCTATCTCTTATATTTGATGCTTGTGTCCATAATAATAAAACTGAATACAATGATATTTCTTATTTTTCTCTATTTTATCACAAGTTGCTGACTTCTTTCTGGGCGATTGACGCTTCGAGATCAACCGTGATAAAATGAATAATATACTACAAATTATTTGCGTCGACTGACAGAAGTATCAAATGGATTTTTCCAAAACCTATCCAATAGACTAGTATTTATAAGGGGCGGGAAACCTCATTCCGAGCCATTCGAATGACTGTGAGTGGCTGTGAATGCCCGAATGAGTGTTTTCCCCTTGAATTGAAGGCATACATAGTCATGTATAGATAGAGAGATGGCATGTGGATTTCAATTGCGACATATTATTCAATATCATTGTAGATAGTTTTTATATCAAAAATGAGTATTGATGTTCATTGTTAGCTGATCTCACTTGGTCATCTATATTGTTCATCACTATCAAACTAATAGTGGAATCATATCGAATGACTTGTTTGAATCATTTTACATACGTCAGCATAGCCACATATAAACCCTCGAACCACTGGATTTATTTCTAATTATTTGATATGAATCTTCCAGTATAGTTCATTACACAAAGAATAATCCGTACAACATCAACTACGTTATGTTACTTGATTGATTGATTTGATAGTGCCCTATTTTCCACAAAATATGACTCCGTAAATAAAAATCCACATTTGTGGTGGAAAACGAGACGATTCTTCTTTTCTGACCAAAAAGTGGAAATTTTTATTTAGAGATTTTCGAATTTGGAGATCATTTATAATAAAAAAATGAAATGTATAAACTGCTACTCGGCACGATTATCTTATTCCTCCCATACTATATTCAGAAGAAACTTAGATACACAGGCACATTCTCAAGTTGAGCTGAAATATTAGAACAGAATTCTTTTTAAATTCGAAATTCTATGAATAAGAGAGCTAGTTTTTTTGTTATTTCTAAACTACTTTTAATTGCGATATACAAACGCTTGTGTTCTTTTTTCCTTGAATTCCATATCAGTAAATTAAGAACCGAGGTTGACAATTACTAAAATGTCTTTAATCATTTGCGACATTTCTTCATAGATATCCCTATGGATCTGGAAACAATAGCTGATTTTTACATTGAAATCAAGCATAATAGCTCAGAATAGTATTTCTTGTCATTTTTCCTCATAAGAAAACAAACATTAATATCTTATTTTGTAAAAGAACAAAAATGATTAATTCAACTAAAACACAATACAGATGCTCAAAATTCGCGTGAATATATTCAATTTTTGATAGTTTTTATTTTCGTCATTAAAGTAAATACCACTGAACAATTTTCTTTTATGCTCCACCTCAATTTCATAGCTAGATGTCGCACAAAGACAATTCGTCGAAAGTTTGGTGTTTTGTGCAATCTATATTCATGATAAATTATTTCCAAATTTTTAATCGATAAAAAGCATTTATAACTCTAGAAATGAATAGAAAATCTTGTTTGGTTGACTTCAATTATGACTGGTTATATACTTGCTCGTATGATTACACAGTCCTGATTTACGAGTCTCTATGTTCTGTTTTGTTTTGGGTTTTTACGAAAATGACACTGTAAAATATTAAAAGGGAACTATCAAATATGTCTACAGCAGTTAGTGCATTCCGTTGGCTTGATATTCTTGAAAAAGAATTTGATAAATCATTTGTCGATCTTGACTTATTACTTGGTGATATTGATCAAGATCAATCGGATATAACTGATGAAGGTCGAGCTAAAATGACTGTATTGAGTTCATGTTTCGCTCAACTAGCACATAAAGCACAAACTATTTCACAAACTAATGCTAAATTAGAAGTAAGTTTTATTTGTTTTAGTAGAAGTTTTTGGAAAAATGTTTTTCTATCAGGCCCAATTAATTGATATTCGGACAGAACTGATAGATGCTAAAGCTGATCGACAAGCATTAGAACAACAGTCGAAAGATATAATGCTTCAATTGCATGCCATACAATTAGAATGTCAAACGTTAAAAAATCCAAGTGAAATTGAAGGTGCTGATACAATAAGAAAAAAATTGGTTTGTCGATTCTTCCTTTTTCTTTCTTCTATAAGGTTTTACTTCAAGTTGAATGTTTATTTAGGAAGAACAAATATCTAAGCAGCGAGAAGAATTCAAACAAAATGTCACAGCTGAAATAAAAGCACAAGAATTCGAAAAAGAAAACACTTCACTAAAAGCACAAATTGTTAATCTTCAATCTGAAATATATGGTTCGCGTTTAGCTGCAAAATATCTTGATAAAGAATTAGCTGGAAGGTGAATTATGTTTTTTTCTTCTATGATGGAAAGAAAAGTAGTATAATAAATCAATGAATCTTCTATGCAAAGCTATGTTAGAATAAATACTAGCTAATCGTTTCCATAGACTATTGGTAACGTGAAAATAGACGAGTCTTGTATAACATCATGCTTGATATATGTACGCAAAAAAAGGAGAGTATCCTTAATTTGTTTGTAACTACATTTAATCATTATGCGATAAATTCCAAGTATAATTTCTTAGATTTTGATAGAAAAACAAGTTTGTGTGAGTGGACTCCTTAATTGCTTTCATAATTAAAATAGTTTATTTCCTGTCTAAATAAATTAGATAGATCTACTTGTTCCCTCATGCCATTGGTATTGAATCCCATGTGAATACTACGAACATGCCTTTCTTTTTTTTTTGTTTCGACCTGACCTAGAAAACTTAGATTATGTCGGATGGAACTTTTTTCAAGGGAAAACAAGAATTTGTTATGTCTATTTTCTTTATTCAGCGTCGATTGATGTTTTGGAAAGTTGTAAATTCATAGTTTCTCTTAATCTAAACGATGCAAGTACTTTTGAATAGTCTCCACATGTCACAGAGCCCTTATCAGACATCTGCCATTACGGCTTTTGATTACATATCAGAGCATAAGCAAGTTCATATATGAACATTAGTGTAGAATTCATTTCTGAACAATAATCATTTTCTTCAACTACTTCTGAATGCGTAGTAATCGTCATAGTCTCACTATCATTAGAATATAATTGCTATTTGTCGGCTAACAAGGAGTTACAGAAAAACTAAATAATACTTAAGCCTGGATGATAAAACTGTGGCTGGTCGAAATAAAAATATTTTGAAAACCTGCGTTGATTTCTATCTACGAACTATAAATAGCGTCCAAGTCTACTACTAGACAGAGAAAGGGTGAGAACTCTATGTCGGATAACAAAGGCATTTCATATACAACTGATAAAGGTTGTTAGCAAACATTACAAACCCACGAACTTTCCAGTCAGCTTCGAATTATACCAACATACATATTTTTTTTTGCACCCCATAGATTCATATCAAACGATTGTAGAATGTCCTTACAGTATTATCTATGTTTACTGCTGTTAATAATTTTATAGTATTTAGTACAGCAATTCTTTCATGAACATATGCGTATTCCATTAAGTAATCGTTGCATTACACACTGCTAAATAGAAACCAAATTGCATTAAAAAAAAACAGAAGTACCAATAATATTTTATTGCTGGTACATCTCATATATTCCTCTACCAAAGCAATCAACATACATTTGCTTATCTCTTCTTCTCTTATTTTTAATAATAACAGCTCTTTAAAAACGAATCAACGATGTGCTAATGATTTAAACGTAACGATAATTATTTTTGACAGTAAACTCAACATATTAAAATTATCATTTATTTTGATAGCGAAAGTATTGATGCGAAAGCAATCTTGGCTAAATTTCCTCCATGTCTTCATCTTTCTTTATATCATTGGTCATCAATTTCCCTTAATAGATTACTCTAAGAAACCAAGCAGTAAAATAAATATTATTCTTAATAAATGGCATATTATTTATTTTCCATACGATATAGACAATAAACGTGTTCTATACTAAAATCTTCTCTTAAATAGAATCCAACAAATCCAATTACTTGGCCGTGATTTACGGGGAGCTGATCATGAAAATTTATGGAATCAACTTGAAGCTGAAATACATTTACATCGTCATAAAACTGTTATACGTGCATGTCGTGGGCGAGATAAAGTTAATAAACCTTCAACGGTACCACCAGGACATGTAATGAGCATTTTGTTTTTGTTTTCAATTTATGATTTTATTTTTCTTAATTAGGATTTTAATACTTTGAAAAAAAGTCATGGCGTAGGAGAAATTCGCACCATTGAACTTCATAAAGATGCTAAAGAAGCATTGGGAATATCCATAACAGGTGGTAAAGAACATGGTCTACCTATTCTGATCTCGGAAATTCATGACGATGGTCCAGCATGGCGTTGTGGAAAACTCTACGTAGGAGATTCAATATTAGCTGTGAATAAACAAGATTTACGTGATGTGAATCACAGAGAAGCTGTTCAAATCTTATCATCTGTTGTATGTAGATGAGAATTGAAAAACAAAATACTATAGTTTAATATTTTTATTTTTGAACTAGAAAGGAGATATAACATTGACCGTTGTTTTTGTTGCACCAGATGATAGCGACGATGAAGATCTATCAAATTGTGATCCTGAAAATCATTTAAAATATAAATTTATTAGCGAAGAAACTGGAAATAATCATCGTATTGAACCGAAACGTTCTTCATCAAGTGACATTGAGTCAATTCAGCGTATTAAAGAGCTATCTGTATCGAATGGAAATCAAAGAAAACATATTTTGGAGCAAATAGATGGAGCTGATACAGTCAGTATTGATAGTTATCCAAGGTAATGAATCAAATTTGTGTTTCTTTTCTTTGTCGTCTATGGATTTCTTTTTTTTCTTCTAGAGATAGCCCATCAGTGATCGACAGATATCTTAAACATACACAACAATATTTACCAGTTAAACGTACCGACTCCAAAGAGTGATCATTATCTAGGCAATTGATGAGGAACTTTCATCTCATTTCTTTTTTTGTCTCTTAATTATTTATAAAACATTGTTATTGCATAATTTTAACCGGTAGAAATCCAGCGGAAAATTAAAAAAATAAACTGTATGTGATAGACGATCTTTTTAATATATTTGTTCTTAACTCATATCGTTTCATTTGTCGCTTTTTCTCTCTAATTAAATATACACACATATATATATATATATATATACATAAACATCGTATTTAAAAATATTGTTGTCTGTGACTATATTTATTTAATATAGAATTTTCTCGTTTTATTTAACGAAAGCGTTTTTTTTCTGACTCTCGTCAATCGTCAACAAATGAGAGCCAACAAAACGTGACCATTATAATTTCTATCTATATTATTAAGATATGATAGTCATTAACTGAAAGAATGCACGTGTTGATGTATGCGAATAGCAAATACAAATCAATATCTAACATCAGTTTTGCATTAAGGCTTAATCAAAATTTTTGCTTGACAAGCAAATAGAAAAAAAAAGAAAAAGAACAAAAAAATCTTTGCAAGTCTTCTAATGACTGCTGATCACACAATCGTTTTTTTTTTGTATGAAATATATTTAGGTTTTGTTCTATTTGGCTTGCACGATATTCGATTTCAAGAATCAAGTTATAAAGGTAAAGTGCAAATATGCCGAAAAAATGATAAATAAGTAAAAGTCGTGATAAAAATGATATTTGAACAACTGTAAATTCCATTGATTATTGAATTTCTGCATAAAGTAAATAAATATTTTTATGTTATCTTTTATAATATTCTTCTTAATCGCCGAAACGTTTGGTAGACAACTGTTATATCGTAACAGGTTGTTTCTTTTCAGTTTCTTCTCGACGACTATTTTCCTTATTATATAGATAGATTATGAACGATAAAAGTGGTCAGCACCTACTAAACAGAGTACAGAGAACAGACAAATATATGTATACTAGTACACTGCTATATATTTATTCTCAATGTCTTAAGAACTAATGACGATGATCGTCAGTAACTAAGCAAAACATACATCATAGGAGCTTTCGAAAAAAGACTATTGTTCCTGGTATTTTGTAAGCTTCGCATCGTGTCTCATCCCATTCCATCATCTGATAAGAACGTGTACGCCAGCGTTCTAAATCATCCAAATGTTCTTTTGTTTTTTTTTCTTTCGTTCCATCTAGATCAACTCTATTTTTTATTAGTTTTTTTTGTTTTGTTTTTATATTTAGATGGCACGATCATCGTTTTTTAGTCTTTTTCATGCATGCAGATGAAAATTTGACCAATAAATGAGTTAGATCAATGTCTAACATCAATCAGGATTAGAGTCACTGACTTCATTTTTCTTGATTACTTTCTATTATATTATTTTCAAATCCATAGGAAATAACTCCATACTAATACTAGTACCTGTATTTATAATTCGTTTACATATCAATGTAGATAGAGTACACGTCAATATGATAAATGATAACGACCGTTAACATTGCTAAAAACAGTTTTTCTCTTTTTTTTACAATAGCATAGTAAGATATTTAGTTAGTGTCTGCCTTCTTTATCTTTATAGGGAGAACAATAATGAGACTTTAGGTAGAATATTCTCTCTTACGAGAAAAAATATAAGGCTAAGAAGAGACATAAATCATTTATGCTAAAAACATCTCTTCCGCAGACGATAGAAAGCAATCATAAACTTCTTCGTTGATGATTATTATAGATACGACTAAAAGAAAAAATTTACATTTTATATGCAATAGAACAGTGCCATTTTATGCATCTGTCCTTTGCTATTTGTTCTAGAATAAGATTAAGTTAGATCATCATGCAAACACGTTCGCTTCCAAAGCCTACGCATACATACATTCATACAAACTAAGAATTGCACGTTTATACATTCATACCGGAGTAAAACATTAAAGTAAGAAAGAAGAAGAAAAAACGATATGTTCTCTAATAATACCCCTAACGTGAGAATGATATACTATTAGTAAATAAATCATACGCTCAGACATAAAGACATCATCTCCGTTGTTAATTTAATGTGCATTAGAAGGTCGGTTCCTTATCGCTGTTTTTTGTCTCCAGTGTTTTATCTAGATTTTTCACTCCCGGGAGGGCAGGCAAAAGTTTTTTAAGGGACTAACTGCCATGAGTAATATCAAGCCTATCATACTGATGCGTTCGAAAGATCTGTGTTTTGTAAGTCATATAAAAGTTAATTATTTATTTCATTTTTCTCGGGAGGGCAAAATGTTCATTGCCTTTCCGTCGGATAAAAAACTGTTTGTCTCGTAATAAATCGTGATATATTTTATTATTAAAACTTCGTAATTTTTATTCTGATTCTTCTCTTTCTTTCTTCTTCTTTCTATACCTAAAGCCCTTTTCTAAAAATAAAAATAATTCTTATATTCTTGATATCTGCTTTAGTCATTCTATGCTTGCGTGTGCATAATCAGTTGGAAGATTTATTTATTTTATCTAGAAATATCAATTCATCGGTATGTATTAAAATTTTAGGAATTGAATGAAGCCTCAATGTGCTGAAAAGTCTACCAATACCATTGATTAAAATATCGATTTATCATGCACCAACGACCTGAAACCATTCATCCGGAAAGGAAAGCATCATCAATAAACAGGCATCTGAATAACGGCTGGCGACAAAAGTCATTACGACAAACACATTCTCGTGGTTTACCATTGTTGGTTAAAGAAACTGTAAACATGGTTGCTAAGACTTTACAATTAACTAATTCGATGGCTGTTGTAAATGAACACACCATCGAGCGAAACCATGAACAAGAAGACAACGATGATAGCGATAATGATAGATTAGATATTGGACAAAACGTACAAGCACATATTCCAGATATTGTTCTAAATAATTTAAGTGACTTAATTGATCGGAAAGGTCTTATATCTATACCCAATGAACATAAATATGATCATTCCACATTATTATTTCTTGATGTATCCGGTTTTACATCTTTAACAGAACAATATTCAAACGCTACAAATTTAGGAATCGATCAATTGACGCGAACATTAAATTCTTACTTTGAAAAAGTTGTTTTTGAAATCTTAACACATGGAGGTGATATATATAAATTTGCTGGTGATGCTATACTCGCATTGTGGACAAAAGAAACGATGGGCCCACAACAAGCATTAACATGTGCATTACAATTGCAACAAGAGTGTGGTGCTTATGAAACAGATGTTGGTGTTATACTACGTCTTAAAGTAGCACTTGCCTATGGACCTGTTTGTGCTGTATTCGTTGGCATAGATGAGTTTAAACATTATCTATTAACGGGCAATTGTGTTAAAGATGTTAATATGTGTGAACAATTATGTGAACCTGGTGATATTATATTAACAAAAGCTGTTTACGAACGATTACAGTCAATACCGTTCGATTGTAAATTTGTACCTGTTAGTGAAGATATCGATCCTAAACATGAACACATCGCTGTAAAATATTCACAAGCAAAACCTTCATCAGATTCTGATTCTGATTCCAACGAACATATGAAAAATTCAACCGTGATGCATGACAAGCGAGTATGTAATCAATCATGATTTGTTATAAACTTTAGATACGATCTAAGATTTCTCTCTATGATAAAAAGGATGCAAATTAATACGAAGAAACAATTTGTTAGATTTATCAAAATTCGATTCTTCTCAGTAAGATAAACATTGAAGAAAAACCAAAACACCATTTCATAGTTTCTATGCGTTTATAAGCTTTTTGATAGAGCATCTCAATGAGAAAATTTATCATGTCATTTTTTTCGATTTGATCATGTACTTGCCTCAAGTATTGTCTGGCATATATTATCATGAAGTGAACGAGTCCTCCAAGAGACAGATCTAATTATTCGAAAGATAGAAGTCTATCAAATATATATATATATATATATATATGTTGTGGTCAAAATTCAAATCCAGTCAAATTTAAAATTTGCCCAATATAATCTCAGTTAAAATTCTAATTTCGATTTTCGCTAAAGAAATTGTTGCTTCTTTATGTTTTTTTCTTTAGTTTATTTTGCTCATCAAAAGGAATTTCCGATTTCGTCTAGTCAAAATCGAAATTAGAATTCAAATTTAAAATTTGACTGGATCTGAATTTTGACCACAAGATATATTCAGAAAATAACTGTATCGAAATAATAACAAAAATAAAATCCGACTATGATAAGATCTATCTACTGTTATTTAGTTGATCGGCAGACTTTCCTCTTTCAAAACAAAACATTTTGCTGTCATGCTAATATTACAATGCTTAGGAATACATATGAGCATTCTTTCTGCGACCTTGCACCGCTTAATAATTGACATAAAAAAAAAGTTAACCTACAAAACTACATTAGGTTTATTAAATTTTGAATTCATTTATCATAATGATAATTTTCGTCTTTGCAGTCTATGACCTTAGCAAAATTCATTATTTAGATTATTTTGATCTCCAGCAATATAATAATCCTCTTATCGTGAATGGGTTCGTTTCTTTTCTTTTCATCAATATGCTTGATGCCCTCCCTATTTCTATTTTCAATTCTTTTCTTGATAAAAGAAAAAATTCTTCTAACTTAATTTCAGTCGATTTCGACATACAATTAATAACTCAGTTATTGTACTAAAGTGTAGCTCCGATGATGCTGTCAGTCTTAATTCAAGTGAATCTCATCAGGCAAAAAAACGTTAATAAAAGCTAACATCTTGTCATGAATCTTCTTTTTTTTGAACACGAAATATCTAAATGTAATAAGAATTCTAGAAGAATTATCGGAACAACGACACAAACATAGTTATTCTCATGAGACACACACTACACTTGTGTGTACATAGAGTTAGAATTTGATTTAGTTTGTCTTCAAAAACAAAAATACAAACGAATATTCCAGCGAGATAAAAATTTCTAATCAAAATCAGACCAGTTAGGAAATCCTAGGAGAAAGAAAAGAAAAGCATGCTAACAAATCTCAAAATTAACTATTAAAAATGAGATTCGATTAATTTCTGTCGAATCAATAAAATAAATCGTGTAAATCAAACCTTAGAAAATTCAGATTATCGTTATACATGTCCGTTGAGTAAAATAACTCATCTTTAACAATCATATACTTTTATACAAGGATTTCCCGATAGAAATAAACTCATCAAGATAGATTATACCATGAATACTTTGATTAATTATTCCTCTGAGATAAAACTAATCAATAGAGAATTTTATTCATGAGTTTTGCATTCTACCTAGGATACGTTGAACCAAGACATCGTCCTTGATAATAATTACAATGATTTATCTGACCATAATTTGTCTAATGATGAACTTAATCTTAAAATTAATGTATTAATAAAATCATTTTTGCTACATTGTGTTCGTCAACGTATTGAACGTAAACAATCATTGGATTACTTATCTGAATTACGTCGTGTAACAATATCATTCATTAATCTTGATATAACAAATGAACATACAATAAATGATAATTTACATGAAAATATAAATAAAATATTTGTTCAAATCTATGAATCAACTAAAATGATGGGTGGAGTTCTAACGAAAGCATTATTGTTTGATAAAGGTTTTTCATTTCTATGTGTTTTTGGTTTACCTGGCTATAAACAAGGCGATGATACAGCGAATGCACTTAAATGTGCTCAAATGATTCATTCAACGATTCGAGAGCAATGCCAATTCGTTGATAAATGTTCAATTGGTGTAAATAATGATACAGATTCTTTTTGTTTTGTCTAGAAAACACATTTTTACATTTTCGTTAGGTTAGGTGACAACTGGTCTTACGTATTGTGGTGTCGTCGGACATGAAGCACGTTGTGAATACACAGTGATCGGTCGAAAAGTGAATATGGCGGCACGTTTAATGTGTAATTATCCAAATTTAATCTCGTGTGATCAAGAAACATACTATAATTCACGTTTAATTAGTCGACTATTTCAAAAATTACCTGCTAAAACTTTAAAAGTAAGATAATAAGAGAAACTTTGGGATTTATGATGTTTTTTTCTCTCTGTAAGGGAATGACTAATGTCGGAGTCATTTGGCAATATGGCGACTATCCTGATGTACCACAAATAATTGAATCAAGTCGAACTTTAAGTCTTCAATTCAATGAAATTAAACAAGAAAATTATCCATTATTAGGAAGAAGAATGGAACTAATGATTGTTGCAGCACAAATCATGCTACTTGATGAACCAGTTAATAGTAAAAACAGACGAAGAGATCTTGCTGCTTTAATATTTGAAGGTTAGAAAATCGACTTAACTTATTCGATTAACATAATATTCACGTCTACTAGTAGTATTCAGAATTTTTCAGAACAAATTGCTTTTCAATAGTTTCTAGCTAAAATTAGATCAATATAATTATAGGTCAAGTATCGTCATTCGAAAAAACACTTGATAGAATGACGAATAATTTAGAGTGAAGGGTCTAAGCGTGTTTCACCTTTCATAATTGTTTATGCTTCACGATAATCTACTTCATACACTTAAATCTTAAGGAATTCTATTGTGTTTCATGATGATTAGATTTTTTTTAAATAAAATTTTCATCATAGGTGAAGATAAAATTGGTCGAAGTCGTCTGTTACAATTTATAGCTAATGCATTAGAAAGCTCAACAAATGTTCATAATTCACCAGCTTTTACTTATTCTAATGAAACCTACATTCCAACTGATACAACGAGGAATAGTAATAATAACATTCTACCAATAAATGCTAATGTTCCAGAACCAAGATCATCAATAACGACGAATGCAAGTGATTTAGGAGTAAATAAAAAACTATCTATACAAGTTATTAATTATCGTTGTCAATTCGAACAACGTTTCAATGAATTTGGTTTACTACGTTCATTGTTACGACAATTATTACAATTTCAAAATGATAAAAGTCAATATGAATGCGAACAATACCTTTTACGTTTATTCGATATCAATAAAGCAAATGATTTACATCTAAGACGCAATTTATTCCTATTAAATGATTTACTCGATGTTCGATTTCGTCGTAGTCATATTGAAACAGACAGTGTTAATGAAACTAATTTAGCTAAGACTTATGAAGTCAATCTCAATGAATTAATTTTACATATTTTAAATAAACTTATTGATCAAACAAATAACACTGCAGAATTAACTGTACCAACAACAGGGGGCAACATGGTAAATATGCCAAGGTAAATTCAAGTTCTTCAATATTCTATAACTTCTTTAAAGTTACTAAAAAATTGGATTTTCTACAACAATTTACAGTTCGATTTAATTGGATATATTACAGTTCAAAAGTTTGCAAAACGGAGATATTATATTAGAAATAGTTAAATTACGAAAGTTTTAGATTTTCTCATTGTTCATATCCTAAGATATGTCTTTTGCACAGTTCAAATCATAGATGTCCATGGCGGCGCGGTAGCGGGATGGCAGCGGCAGATTTTCACCCGCGATGAACATTTATGGTTCAAATGTACTTTCAAGTCGAAATATCAAAAAGCCCCTTTTTTGTTGAACAATGGAATGAAAATCTAATAATATTCATAGCTAACCTATAAGATGATTTTAAGATTGCATCTTGATTGCTGTAGTTCTAGAGTTTTTATCTCAAAGACACATAGTTTCCATTTACAGTACATTTTTTCACAACCCTTGTTCTAGTTCAAATGGTCTTCAATCTCATACTTCATTCAGTTCAACAACAAGTTTTATTGGATCGATTCCAACAGTATCAAAAATTATATTTATAATCGATGATATTCATTTTGCTGATGAAAGTTCTCTGAAACATTTACTTACATTAGGTAGTCATAGTAAATCACTATTAATTCTTTCAATGAAACCACCTAGAAATAATCAAAATGACGGTTCAATATCAAATATGCTCCAATCAATAAGTACAGATTCACATGTTTATCTTCGCCGACTACCTGGCTTAGAATTACGTTATTTAGCAACACTCGGTAGGTCAAAATTGGCTGTTTTGGTGCCTACAACATTTCTCTCTTTCATTTCTAGGATGTCAAATGTTATGTGTTCATCGAGTTCCATCGAAAGTTGTTAAAGTATTTAATGAAAGTTGTAATGGAATTCCTGGGTTTTGTGAACAAATTTTACTTGATTTATTACGTAAAGATAAAATCTATATCATCGATGAAGACGGCGAAGACGGTGATCAAAGACATGATGAAGATTTAAATCTAACTGAGGGCGATGCTGATAAACTTCTATTAAATAATCGAGCCAAAATCGGTCTATTTAAAACACTTTTTTCACGTCGAAAACAATCAATATCAGTTGAACAACGTTTCAATGAACGTGCATTTTCTCGTATATGCGTATTACGTAATCCCGATGAAAATGATTTTAATGCTGATTGTCAACAAAATTTTCAAAATTATATTATGTGTCGTATCGATCGGTTATCCGAAGGTGAAAGTCTTCTCGTAAAAATTGCTGCTATTATAGGTAATACATTTTCGCGAATGTTTTTATGGCATTTAGTTGATCCGCAATCAAAGGAATTGATTAACATTAATTCATGTATATTAGAAATGATGCAGCGAACAATTATTGAATGTGCTTTCAGTAAACAACAAATAACTAAGACACGTTCAATAAAATGCTACTGTTTACAAAATCCAGCCGGCTTTCCATCGCAATGTCGTCTTATGGCATTTTCACATTCAACAATACGCGAAGGAATATATAATTCATTGACAGATGGATTAAAACGTTTACTAACACGCAATGCTATTGATTATTTAGAAAAGCAACGTACCATTGTTTGTTTAACATGTGCAACGAGTAAAAATGATAGTCCATTTCTTATCAATGAAGAAGATGGTTTAGCTGAAATTATTAGAAAAAGTCAGCAGCATGCGCTTGTGGATATTGTTAAAATGGCTGCATTAAAAGAAATCGATAATGCTATTAAAAACTTATCAAATTTAGCCAATGGATCACCGCGTCAACATTCGAACAGGCTTTCGTTCGTACCATCGGACATTCGTGCAATCCCGAATGAAAATGGACCGATTTGTGGACAGGAAAGGTAAACGATTTTATATATAATGTCGAGCTGATGTGAAAACAATAGAGACTTATATACTAGTTAATTCTTCAGAACAAGCATCTATTAGGGATGTGTCTTTTTTCTTCTATAATTATCATTTGGAGAATATATTTTAAATGATTTTGTTTCACCTAAATAGTTCTATCAAAGATATGGATACAAATCGAACCAGTATTGATAGTAATACCGCTGTGACATCAAAGATCAGTTCAACTCGTTTAGGTTCTTTGGAAGTTGATAATGTTATGAATGAAAAACAAAATCGTTTAGGAACTAATGAAGTGTCACGGAAAAACTCTGATGATCCAAATATAACATTAATAAGCGTCTATTCTCCTACAATACCATCACGTCTTCAAATTAATGTTCGACGTTCATCAGCAGCATCGATTACACCGAAACCAAGTCAATTCTTTTCGTTATTTCAAATACCGAAACAGCGAACTGTTATTAAATCGACATCAAACAGTGAATTGTTACCAGCAACGGATAGAGTTCTCTCAGATTATCATGCAGATGAAAGCGCAGATCAACAAACAACTACTATTGAAATACCGAAAGCAAAAGTTGAAAAAGCACCTAGTTGTTTGCTTTCATTTTTTCAACGTATTTTCTGTCAATGTGTATCGGTGACTTCAAATGCAACAGTAACACCAGTTATGTTTCTCGCAACAAATGATAGTGACGATAATTTGAAGGCAGTTTTTTCAACGCATGCAACTCAACAAGTAGGCAATCTTCCAAAGGTAAAACTATTCGTTCAATTCCGTACCTTAAATAAGACGATTGAATCGACATTCTTTGAAGTTTTTTTCTTCTCGACAATGTTTCCAGTCGATTGCTTAAGTACACTTTCGTTGAAAAGAAATCCAATTCGAGCCTTCATCATTCACGTTATATGAACTAACCAGTAGATAAGTCACTAGGAGATATCTTTGCTCGTCAAAATAGGATTTTTTATTTCTAAAAATACTGCCTACATTTGAGGCCGTTTGTTGATCAGAAATGACCATAAAGAAAATTTCTCTTATAGGAAAATGTAATTTCAAGTAAAGCTTTATCTAATTGGAAAAAAGTTCGATCAGCAGTATTACCAGCACTAGGCAAAGGTCTTCGAGCAATGCCAAGCGACGAAAAATTACTTGAAAAATCAATACTTTCATCGTACTTAATGGAGGAAGTCGCTCAGAATATTGCCTGTTTAAATAAACAAGTTCATTTAACACGAACATTTCGAAATTTATATGATCAATCGTTTACATTCAATATATTTCAATCGTTTGTTCAACGTACGGATTCAATACAACATGTTTTTGAGAAAAAACTAATCCAACAATCAAATCCTGATTTAAACAAATTCATCAATGAATTTAATTCCTATAATGATTCTCGCATATGTGAATGTATTGATTATGTTATGACAATCTATGTTAAATTAGTTGAATATCATACAAATCTTTATGATATGTACGTAAAAATGGTTGATGATAGACACGATTTTTTGTGTTCAAAACAGTTCGATCGTATCATGTATTATCGTAGTGAAATTTGCCATTTACTGATACGTTCGAATTGTCTACAACGTTTATTGGCTGAAATAGGAAACGCAAGAAAATTTATGGGAAAATTTAAAACTGATATAAACTATGACGAAGATTTTCTCTACGAATATCAATGTTTAGTTTTTAAATACACCTTTGATCTTTTTCATGCTATCGTTTTACAACGTACACGAGCTATTAACGATTCCAAACAACTATGTGAAGAAAATTTAAAAGAATTAAATCAAATATGTCAAAATAAAATTTGGGAGAAATTAAGCAGCCATGCAGACTCATTAGCAACATCAACAGCAAAAGAGAAGCGAAAGCAGTATGAAAGGAGTAAAATTTTTCAATCAAAAGAATCTTTGATGGATTTTAATTCTAACAGTCAAATATCTACAACAGCCGTAAGTACTACTCTAACCAATGCATTTCTAACTGGCCATTAAACAAATAAATAGTCCGTACTCAATTCATTGCGTTCACATTTTACTATGATTTTACAGAACGTTTTATCATCATGAAAATAGCGAATACATTCATAATCCCTCGTGCTCTGGAAACTACACATCGAGTCAGAATGCTTCGAAATTTACCATCTGGGATACACTGTTCCTCTCTTTTCTGTATAGTTCATATAATGCTCTGAGGATTGCTTCAGGGTTAATGCTCTTGCTACCACAACATTGTCAAAGGCTAATTGTTGGCCACTATCTTCATCTTTGTTCACTTTCAGTTGAAGGCAGAGAAAAACTAAAAGGTCAAGAGTACTTGCTTGTATGCCATAGATAATATCTCGTCGATATGGTGCAAGAAAACATAGAAAAAAGTAAATCATACTAAAACAATATCTTAATTTTTACATTTAATCACTAACTTTCAAATCTATTAACAAACTAACAGACTAATTTAAATGATTTTCAGATTACTGTTTTAGTTCATTAATATGATAAATACTGATGAAAAAAATTTTCGTTTTTGTTAAATTTACTCACTATTTTAATTATTTAGAATGCCGATCCATTGAATCTCTTTATGCATAAATACAGTCTTGAATATTTACTATGTCAATATAATCTTCTCCGATATGATCTATCTCTTAATCAATCTATTGATTCTATAAATGCTTTAATAGATTTACAATATTATATGTTTCCATTATCATTTTCTCTTCCATGTACAATAATCTTAGTTGAATATTTCTATTGTCAAATGAATTATAGTCAATGTTTAACATTAATCAATGAAATCATTCAATTCTGGTGGTCATATGTAAGTCCACGTGAAAAACTTGAATTTGCTAAATTAAGTTGTCTGTCATTAATAATCGAATTAAAACGAGGTTTACTTGGTTCAGCTATCGCATCCGGCTATTTCGCCAAACGCGTACTAGCAGGTTATCATGAAAATATATTTCTTATCAATTCATGTATACATTTAACATTAGCATTAATTGGTGATATGCGTATATCAAATATTGAATTGATTATTCAACATTTAGACTATTTAAGTGAGCAAACAATGAATTGTTATGGAAAATTATGGTATTATATATTAGCTATTGATATTGGTATTGAGCTTGGTTATGAATTATTGCCGATTACAAATGAATTACTTGACAACATAGCAAAATACCGTAAAAAACTTCTTCCGGGTACAAACGAAAGAAGTCTAGCACTCTTCTATAGCGATTGTACATTGGCACAAATTTATGCACGTTTAGGTTTATTAGATATGTCGAAAATACAGTTTCATCAAGCGATACACCAAATAAAACACGATCAAATGCATTTAACCAATACTGATTTTCGTTTCAAACGTGCACTATTAAAATTAGTCGAAGTCCAATTATTACATTGGTATCATAAAAGAGCAAATGAAGAAGAAACCAAAAAACAAGATTTTTTATTGCATCACTTACATGAGTTTAAAAACGAAGAACTCACTTCATGGAACAAATCAAGACTTTATATCTACCAAGCTTATTATGATAGACTAGTTAATGGTTATAGACGAGCGCACAAATTTCCCGTCGATGTAAGTCTATAGGAGAGTGTAGGATCTGCGTGCCAGGATGATTTTCTTTAAATAAATCAAATTAACAATTCCTAATAGATAGACAATACTCTGTACTAAACGACAAATATGATAAAACTATTCCCATAGGAACTAGAAATATTTCATGATTTTAAAAGCCCTATTCAAGAGATTCACATGTTAACAATTTCTGTAACTATTTTAGAATGATTTGAATTGGGAAACATGCTTACATGAAGCAGAAGAAAATGCGATAAAACTTGATCGTGAATGGATAAAATGTTTACGACACTCATGGGTACACCCAGTGTCTGATCAACTTGCATTGCAAGAAAATTGTTTAGCACATATGGAACAGCATCACGGATCAAAATCACTTGTAAAACCTCACAATCGCCATTATATTCGACCATCCATAACAAGTATTAAAATATCCTCAAGACATGAAACAAAGACGAAAAACGATCCTGACGAACAATCTGCTACAGATAATTATTTTCGACAAAAATTTTTTGAGTCCCGGTCGATTTCAAATACATTTTACTCATCTCATTTCCAACTTTATGTTCTTCCGGTGAGAGTATAACAGAGAAGTTTTTGTTGTTTTCTTTCTCCTATGGTTCGAGCGTATTATTTTTTCTCGTATAGTGTTCATTTTTTCTTTTATTTCTTCATGTATACGCATTATGTGTCTTTATTTTCAATATAAAAGGTTGTTGATCTTAACACATCTTATCAATCATTCAAACGAAAGAAAAAGTACTATCTATCGCATAAAAATTCTAGCTGTATAAATAGAGCAGTTGAAGTAAAGTCCCGCCTCTCATTCAGGTTTGTTTTCCGTCATTTTAAGAGTCTCGGTAAGCGGATCACGATTAATTACCACAAGCATAAGTTGTAGGTCAACTTGCTAGTTACAAATAAAATGACTGTTTTTCATGCTGAACTCGATTGAATGTTCTTTTTGTTTTAATATGAATACGTACGCATGGAACATTTAGAATATAAGTCAATTCGATCTCATTATATAACATGTAGATAAACTGCTTACAATGAGTAGTGTCGTTCCAGGGCTCATCAAATCTTTGTACACTACTTGTAATGAAAATCAGTGTCCTATTTAAGCTGTGTATGTATAGAAAATCCTTCATGAACAGTAATTTTGAGTTTCTATTTATTCCGTTCGAAAATATTTGATTACTATTATTAGTATTCATGACGTAGACACACTTCGTTAGAACTGAAAATATATCATTAGGATCAATGTTTGTCTGCTCCAATACATAGATTAATTTTTATGAAAATTCTTGTTAGGGTTGCTGATTAATCAGCTTATAAAATTGTCACACGTTAACTGACAACTTTAATCTCCTGATCATTGTATGTCGTAATCGAATATTCTAGGTGTGAAAACTAAGATTTCATTTATAAAAATTTTATTTCTTCCAAAACGGAGCAAATTTTCACCTGAAACATGAGACGAAAGCACCATTGATAACTTTCTATATTATAGTCAGTAAAATAGTTCACTAACTGTATTTGAAGATAAGCGCCATCAAAATAATGTTGACTGGTTTCTGAATGTAGGTTTCCGACGCATGCTGTAAAGACACTGTAGGTAACATAAGAGAGAAGTTCGATTGAATACTGTAATTAATCTGATTAGGTTTATCATTCTTTTTCAAATATCTACAAATATATCGTTGATGTAATTTTAATTTTAGCTTAAATTCTCATTTCCTATTTCCATTTTCAGTGCATTAATTACCAGAGTTCGTAAATCGTTTCTTAGAGAAAAAAAATTCGTTGCCATCACATCACTGATTTGTAAAAATAGAAACTTTTGTTCTTACGGAAAGTTGATTTCTATAAGAACATTTTTCTAAATAGAAGCAATGAACCTTGAACATTGAATGAATGAGCCACATTCAACAAAACAAAAAAATCTTTTAATGTAGCGTATCGATTACATTTTCTTTTTCTTCTCTCATTTCAATTTAGTACACTTGGCATTACAAGAAGTTTCTTGGATAATAATTTCACGTTCACATTTCTAAAGTTAGACTCTTGCCGAATTTCTTTTATCACACGTGTCTAAATGAATCAAATACATTTGCTCAATTGCACTTTTCCCCTTAACATTCGATCGAAGTATCCGCCTTAATTTTCACCTTGAACATAAAAGAAATATTTATATATCATCTTATCGATCTTTTTTTTTGTTCGCGCTCGATTGATCTCAATTGTTTTATAGCCGATGGGTAAAAATCAATACAATGACAAACTTGCTCTCATTCACATGAACCAAATAATAATAATAATAATAAAGTTTTCTTTTATTCAAAAACAGTTTCATTTTTCACAGTAAACAAAACAAAATGTTATTATAATCACTGTGCATCGAACAACGTATATGATAATGACACATAATAATAATAATCATCATCATCATCGTCGTCGTCGTCGTCGAATAACTATGGGAAACGAATGAATTTTTTCATGGTGCGAACTTCCCACACATTCTTTCATGTCACTATAAAAAAAAATAATTAATAACGAAGTAAATAATAAACAATATCCATATATCCAAGATAAACAGCTATATGCAACGGTAACCAACCATCATGATTACTAATGTATGTATCACAATTACCATATTCAACAAATAATTTTAATAAATCTAATCGATTGTAAAGACAACATAGATGTACTAAACATTGTCCATCGTATTTCAAATAATTGAGATTGATTTGAGAAATTTTTAAAAGAAGTTTTTCTATTTCATAAATATCACCGTTCGAACGAATTATATTAAAAAGACGATATGTAAGTTGATGATGATCGAGAATCATATTGAAATGAATAAGGAAAGAAAATGAACATACGACAAACACAACTGATCGCTGCTCAAATGAAAAGTGAACCAATGAAATTTTCGTTCAACTTATGAGAATTTTTTTCTAATAAGCTTTAGGCAATCTAATCCGGAAATTACAAATGAATATTCTCTCACTTGATCAGATTTCCCAGAATAGCATACATAGTAAAAAAACAAACGAGTCTGTTTCGCATGCGTGAGATATTAGATTTACATATAGCGTATGGTAAATATTTAATTGAATATCCATTAAAATGTTTTCTTCTTGATTACGATGGCATTTTCGTCGGAATGAAAGTCACTTTTTAAATCTATATTAATGTTTGTCTAAAAAAGAATATTCAGTAAAAGTAAAAAGTCTTATCATATTTTATTTTTATCACAATAAACTATCGATCAACCGAAATTCTTTAATCTCTTGTAATAGGATATCTACAAAAAATTCAATAATATGATAATTTTATAGATGAAAATATAATTAGACTTTTCGTATTGCCGGGTACGATGGGATTGCTTTTTTTCTTATTGCCTACAAAAACCAAAAGGATCATACTCGGCAACATGCAACATTTATTCTTTAGATAAATAATCAGCACATCAAATTAAATTTTATGCATATGACAACGTCTAACTGTTTGTTTGAAATCATTGTTCTACTTTTGTTTGTCTTCCGGCCAAATTATATTAGCACTGATGAGTTCTTTTTCATAAATAATTTCTAACTGGGCTACTCCCGAGATATCTGACTGAGAAAATAATTTGGTCTTTCCGTTGTCTATCGCGTGAATACCACTAGGGCGAATGAATTTGTTGAGGTGATTCTCTAAGAGAAGTTCATGCCGCGTGTACGTATGTTAAGATGACCATTGCCATGTTCATTATTCTCATCCGGATGGTTGCATGAGAAGAGACAAACGAGCAAGTGTACGTGTCTTATTATAAATAATGCGCAGAAAGACATACTGAATGAAAGCATGCATGCCGCGAAAGAAAAAAGACAAAACTCATTTTTTTTCTTCTTCTTTTATTTAAATGTGCTAAAGGACGATTATTTCAGCGGAACTGATGATACTAAGTGATACATGCACACACACACAGATGTTTTTCATTGTCATATCAAGTTAATCTGCGGATGTTCGCTTTCTTTCCTTTTTATCGTATCGAGTCTTTTCAAATAGGAAAAAAAAGCTTTTCACTTAAAATCTGTTATTGCATCTCTCTCTCTCGTCACCTTTCTTGTTATGTCAGATGAGAAACAAACATGTTTGCATATGGAAGTATGTTTAATTTACATCCGTTTTGTTGTTCTATTTACTGATCAGTCGATCTCATAAATGAAAAAAAAAGATTCCTTCGCATTAAAGAGTAGATTTGATGCTTTATATGAATAAAACCATAATTATGCATAGACGATGAGCGTGAATGCCATCCAAATGAACCTTTTCCGATGACAGATAAAGAGAATGTCTGTCTTCTAGTCTCAACATGTCATCGCTCACACTCTCTCTCTCTTTTTAAATGCGCAACTCATCAAGGAGAAACATCTTGTTTATAGCTGCAATGTGAGAATAGAAAGAAAATGAGAATAATTTATCAGACTTTCTTATGGGAGTAGTACCGTCGTCACTATTCTAGTTTCTGTTTTACAATCAAGGTTACTATGCATGTTTAAGTGAGAGTACCTTAACTACATGTTTATCAAGTAGATTACGCTCGAAATATAATTATGTGCCTTGTTAATACTAAGCTTAGTTAGAAAGAAAATGTTTATCTTGCTGTATATTTCGGGATAAATATAATGAGTTTTTTCTCTAGTATTCATATCGTTCTTGTGGACAAAAGGTCACTCGAGAAATCATTACATTCATGAAATAAAATAAAAACTATATTTCAATGGATAATTAGTGTTCCCTAATTCTATCTCGTTCTTTTTCGGATACTTTTCCATGCATCACAATGCATTGGGAAAAGAAAGAAGAGAGCAAAAAATTCAATAACTCAATCGGCTAGCTCAGCATCGCTATTATCTGAACAACAAACATATATTAACAGAGAGACATAGAGCGTGATGTATATATAAAAGACGGCGGCATTTTGACTAATTTAATTTGGCAATATTTTTCTTTTTTTTTTATATTGATGTGATCATCAACGGATTTCAAAATTCTTTTTCTTTTTTCGTCTTCTACTCGGTTTCTTACATTCTTTTTTTTCTAGTTATTTAGATTCTAAATAATAACTGTGAATAGGTAAAAGACAAGAGAACGCTAAGGAGAAAAAGATTTAAAGCATACTCTGGGAAATTAATAATGAATTCTGAGAAGAAAGTGCGCATGAGCGATAAAAAATAGAACCTATCAGGATTTTTTACCAGCAAGTAAATGAAAAGAAAGTTGCTCTTTTTTTTCCAAGTATTCTTAATGTTCATATTGAGAGAGACGGAAAATCCGACTGCTAACATCTGAAATTTTTGATGATGTTATGCAATGAATTCAATACACATAAGTATAAGAGAATATTATGTTGATGATTATACGAGATATTTTGATCGAGGGAGAGAGAGAGAGAGAGCATAGGTCTTGACTTAAAGTTTTTTTTTCTTGCTTCTTCACTTGATAACATCATGATTGAATCAGTTCTCTGGTTTTTCTCTAGAGCTTACTAATTATTAATAAATCAAACCGATGCCATGATTTATATTCTAAACAATAGCATTACTTTGCTATTGCTACAAATCATATTTCTTGTACAATCAACAGCATTCTATCCAAATGATTATGAACCGCGTGTATTCGATCATATTCCTCTTAATTGCTACGATTGTTTATCCTATCGCGATATAATATTGGCACAGTTAACTGATGTTCCAGCACGATCATTTGCTAATTTTAACTTGGGTTCACGTGACACCTATATGATATTGAACGGGCAATTAAGTTTACACTTGCACCCATACGCATTTCAATCCTTAGTTGTACACAAACCTAATAAAACGTTAACAATCACATTGACAGCACCGAATTCTTGGTTAAATATAACCGAAAATACATTTAATGGCCTTGAACTTCATCCTCATTCAACTTTACGTATCATAATAAACAAATTTTATGGTTGTACATTTCATAGAAATTCTTTGTCCGGTATTAATATGCATAAACATTCACAATTAATTATTGATATATCATCTGTGACAGAAATATTTTTCGAACAACATATTATCAAAGACAATGATTTCAATGCATCGGTTAAATTTCTTATAACACGTTCAGATACGATTATATTCGATTCATATTCATTTTCTCAATTAAATATAAATCCACATCAAATAATATTATTTCATTTTGAATTAATTTCACATGTTTATTTTAAATCTTATTCATTCAAATCATTAGAATTACAAAGATCAAGTTCGTTTAGATTTTATTCAATATTCTTAAATCGTCTAACGATGGACTCGTATGCATTTGAAAATCTAATATTAAATTCTCATTCGATATTTAACTTTACGATTCATACATTAGGAACATGCTTATGTTTCAACTCGTATGCATTTCATAATTTACATACGAAACCTAGAAGTGAGAATGCTCTTATATTATTTAAATTTTATACTCTTCGAGGGTTATCATTTTTTTCTCACACATTTTCTAATTTATCATTAAATAATAACGAAAATCAATTACGAATTCATTCAAGTAATCCATTAAATGATCCAAATCCGATTATTAATTTCGCTGTCGATGCGTTTTCAGCAGCAACAACAACAACAACAACAAATAATGGTTCAATTATTTTGAATTTTTCAGAAACAATTGTGATTCGTTTTGAAAAAGATTCGTTGAAAACAAATAATTTCGTACATGAAATTTTTTTAAGTGATATTTCATTTGTTGATTTATCAGCATTGAACAATAAATTAATCGAAAAGAAATTTCATTTACATTTCGATGATATTCAATATGTTAAATGGTATAAATATTCCGTTGAAGAAAAAAATTCTAAGTGAGTAAAAGTCAACTAGTTAAGGATAAACGACAAATACTATTAGACGTTTATAATCTCTCGAATTCATTTCTTTATTTTTAGCCACCATCATGATCATTCATTAATTCAATATCATTTTTCTTATATTTCAAATTCTTCTTGTCTCATTTACTCTGCTTCGCGTTCTGTCCCATGGATATTTCCTACATTGAACTCAACAATCTGTAATTGTCCATTACTTTATGCTTATAAACATGATCAACTCGATCGAGAATCGATCCTCTGTCTGAATTCAACGTCGCCACTCAAAACAATACAACAAATGAACGAATGTGATTTTGATCGCATAGAAAATAATTGTCATTTAACAATTCAATCATTAACAAATCTAAACAATACAATTGAAACTTCATCGAAATCATTTCATTCGTTTGAATTAGATAATTTATTAATACAACAATTATACGATAGAAATTACCTGTCGTGTTCATTTAATTATTCTCTACTATCGTCAACATCAATAGTACGTTCACGTTTATTTAATCATTTTGGTTTTGTTATTGGTATTATTTTAAGTATATTTATTGTCTTACTTGTCATTGTTATTGCTCTATTAAATGGTTTACAATATAAAATGCGAGAATATGATGAGACATGGACATGGAAACGAAATATTTCATGGTCGACCTTACGACGAACAATTTCACAAACATCTTTAAGACGTTCACGAAGAGATTTATCTACGTTAAATAGTCATGCTATAGTCGTATCCAAATCGGATAATCAACTTGATCGTATTAGACACGAACGACAATGTGGAGATAATAAAGAATTTGATTATAGTATAAAACAATCTCAATCCATACAAGAAAACTTTAAACAATTTAATAATATTTATTTGTGATATTTTTGTAAAAAGTAAAATTTATAGTTCATTAAAGAATGACTACGCCGATCTAATGTTCTCTACTCGTCATTAGACATGCAGCTGTTTCCATTTTGATCTTCTTTTTTTTCTCTCGTTCTCACCTAAGTGACGATTAAACGAAATATTTTCATTCGTTCTTCACTTTTTTTTTAAATTTTACGCATCGAATTTTTTTTTCTTTTCATTTCAAAATGATTCTCGATCATCGTCAACTTACATATCGTCTTTTTAATATAATTCGTTCGAATGGTAATATTTATGAAATAGAAAAACTTCTTTTAAAAATTTCTCAAATCAATCTCAATTATTTGAAATACGATGGGCAATGTTTAGTACATCTATGTTGTCTTTACAATCGATTAGATTTATTAAAATTATTTGTTGAATATGGCGATTGTGATACATACATTAGTAATCGTGATGGTTGGTTACCATTGCATATAGCCGTTTATCTTGGATATATGGATATTGTTTATTATTTAATTCAATCTATGAAATCAAGGTAACATTTGATACCGGTGTGAAATGAAAAAAATAATAAAAGGTAATTATTTATCTAATGATTGAATTTTGTCAACTATTTGGTTTTTTTTTTGTTTAGAAAATATAAACAGTGATTAACAATCAAAGCAAGTTGTATTCATCAACATGGTCACGCATCGTCGATATGTATATAAATAATTGTTCTTCTTGTTTGACATTGAACGATAGCGATAGTTTTCTCACCTATTCTTTTTTTTTTGTTCTCATATTGTGTTATATAGATAAAGAATGAATCGATCGGTATATCTTCTTTTTTTTATGATAAAATAATGATATATTATTGGCGAGAGAGAGAGAGAGCAGGCGTCATCGGCAATGTTGTCCTACTTGAACATTCCACTCCATGCAGCTAATCATATTTGGATAATCTTCATCAACAAAATGAAAATGTATTATTTAGTTTTTAAGTGTTCTTCGAGCTGCTCATTAAGAGATAGTCGAGAATTGAACAAGTCTGTTACATCTATTCGTTTGCTTTTACTTAAATTAGTCAAATATTGACTAGACTTGTTTCATTGGCACCATACGCGACATGTGAATTGGTTGACATTTGTTTTTGTTTTTGTTCAAGATAGAACATTAGAATAACTTTAGAAATTAGAATGGAATTTCAATAGGACATTTATTCATCAAGAAGAAGAAAATAATTCCGCATGTCTGAACACTCTACATATCTTGCATAACAAGATAATCTTCCGGTACATTGAATTGAGGGCTCGCATTGGAACGAACAAGTGATCGATAATTTGTCCATGTTTTAATTTCATTATAAAAAGCATTACCAGGACAAGATGTACTATCAAGATCTCTAAAGAAAAAAAATTGAAATCTTGTTTTAATATTTTGAAATATAAAAGATAGAAAGAAAAAACAAACAAACCGATGTCCACGAAGAGTATAAGCACGGCTGATATAACCTCGTGAAATGCCACATTCGATTAATGCTTTAACTGAATTGATTGCTGCAGCATTCGGTTTTTGTGACATATAGTCACCAATAACCGAAATACCTAAACAATATACGATTAAAAGAAACTAAAATATTTTGAGACAATGAACTCTACCAATTGATTGCGAATTGTAACCATAAGTATGTGCACCTACATATGTCCAACCTCTACCTTCATAAATATTACCGTCTTCACCAACTAAAAAGCTATATCCAATATCATCCCAACCTATAATTGTAAATTTATAAATAAAAATGAAAATTTCTATATTGATATACCATTTGAATCCATATGATAGTTTTGAAAACCTTTCATTTTTACAATACATGCACTTTTAGCTGTACATGTACCACCCGTTGTATGATGTATAACAACATATGGTAATGATTTTGCCATTCCGGTTGTACTTTTCGGTGCTCGTGCACCCCACTCAGAACGACTAACAATACTAGGACAATCTACATCAATTAAATAATTAGATAGATGCTAACTGAAGTAGCTACTGAAATTCTCTTACTTGGTGTTGGTGCTGATGGTGAAAAACAACATTTAATATCTGCTGGTTGACTTTCACATAAATTCGATATGTAAAGACTATTTGGACAATCAGATGTTTTTATACATCGACCAGTTTTACCATATGTTGGGTGAGCATACGATTCGCATGAATCGCCTATTTTAAAAGAACGAATAAACTATTTTTGATTGAGTCTAGCTTTCGTTTTTTTACCAGCTATTGATGTTACGAAAACAGCGGTAACGATAAGTAAAAGTAGCATTGATTGAAATCCTATTCAGCATGGATCGACTATTATATATGGGTGTGTATAAGAAAAAACAATCGATAATAGTTTTCATTTGAAATGCAATACTAAACAGGGATTAAAATCGCTATTGAAAAATATTATCTGTAAAGAAAACAGCAATAAAAATATCTGGAGCAAATAGAATTAAAATTAAATATCTAGGATTATAATTATAGTCAACCACATGAATAACAATAAATATTCGACCGTAGCCTGAATCGATGTTATACTAATTACAGACAGCAAAAATCACATATAAGAAGTCTTGATGAAACTTTTGATGTCGTTGAACCACAAAACAGATTATATGAAGTAATTTCGCTTCTGTAAAATAGTATGGTAAAATTTGATGTAACTCTGTGAAATACCACATTGAATCAATGATTCAAGTGCATTAGCAGCTGATTTATTAATTTTTCTCAATGAATAATTACCAATCATTCCTATACCTAAAAAAAGTACATGCTATTATTATCATCATCATCATCGTAGTCTATTGTCTATTTACCAATTGATCTACTATTATAACCTTGACGATGTGCACCAATATAATTCCATCCACGTCCTTCATATATTAGTCCACTTTCACTAATTAAAAAGTTATATCCAATATCACTCCAATCTGTAAGCGAAGAAATTTGCATAAACATAAAAATCGATTCTGTTTTTACTTTTTTCTTTCATATGATATTTTTGAATTCCCTGTATTTGTTTAACACATTCATGATGAGTTCTGCATGAAGGACTAACAGTATCATAAATTGCAACAAAAGGAACTGGCGTAGCCAACGATGTTTGTTCTTTAGGATTTATTGCATTCCATCTAGCACGATGTATGATTGTCGGACAACCTTTAGTAAAAAATAAATCAGACCAAAATTTGAATATTTTCTAATGTAACCTTTATAAGATATCGTTGTATTGAAACAACACATGACATCCATTGGTTTACTTTCACATAATTTCGGTAGATAAACATTATTTAAACAGGCTGATATTTTGATACATTGACCAGTCCTACCATAATCACCATGAACAAATGATTCACAAGAATCAGCTTAATAGAAAGTCAAAATATAGTTGAATTTTGTTTTTTGTTTCGATCTAATACCTGTTATTGATGATGAAATGAAGATAACTATGATTAAACTAAGTAGCATTTGAAAGTCTGAATTGATTTACTTCACAAATTTTATATATAATAGGGCGAGAAGGAAGAGATTAGAAATGTCAGACGTCACTATCAAATGTGAGTATTTACATATTATTACATAGATTTCGATTTACTTCGACATCATTGTTAAGGGGGATTTCCCATTCAATCAAGTAACTACTGATAAAATCGTTGAAACTTCTACCATTAAAATGTTACGAACTTGAAAATATTTTATCAATATGAGTCATGTACTACGCCGCATACCCATCCAAAGTTCACATTTTTAAGACGCTAAGATCTATACGTATCGTTTCCAAACGTCGAGTTAATTAAACGTTTAATCGAATTGAGTGTGGGGTGTGCGTGCTGGTATGTATTAACCAAACACCCACATCATTATTGTGATATTAATTTAAGTAGGATCAAATAGTATACAACATAGAGCGTTGTTTTCTCTATCTGCCTATATAGAAAGAAAGTTTCTCAAAGCTTTTTATAAGGAATTTAAGTACCTTTGCCGCTACTTTTGGTATGCTCTAAGTAGAAAACGAGAACTTTGTCAATAGTGATCTGAATTACATTTTTCATAAGTCATATACGTGACATAATTACAGAATGACATACCCTGCGTGAGTTAGCACGTTGCTAGTTTAGTTACATCAGTCAATTGAATATTGAAATGTGTTAACACGTTAGAATAAAAATTGTCATTATTAATTTGTTTAAGAAACGCGTTTTCCTGTGCTTGTCATGTATTTGCAATAGCATAGCTTGTTGGACGTGATTGAATAGAGAATTTTTATTTTCATTCGATTCATAGTTGTTATCTTAAAGAAAAAAAGAATCATTTTTATTTTATCACGGTTGGATTTTTATAATCCTTGGAAACAGAGATGACTGTTTTTAATGGTTTGCCGTGGCTTCTTTTGATATTGGATCTATTGAGAAGCAATTTCGCATACATTAAATTATTTAATACGGAAGATGCACTGGATGTTCAATCATATGATTGCATCTACTATATCAATATAACAGCTGCAAATAATGAATCAACACCATACTGTATTCGAGCAAAAGAAAGTATCACATTGAATCGTTCTTCAGTAGCAAGAACCTGTGCCAATTCTGGCACACAATGGACTTTCAAAATTTTGAAAGAAATGAATGTATCACAAGATGAGATTTTAATGTGGAATTCAAGTATTGAAATGGTTGATCGGTATGCTGCTTATCTAACGACAGAGTACGTATAATCTGTATATTTAATCTAAGTTTTGAAAAATTGAGGCATTTTCTGTTAACTATTTTATACCCCACGAATTCAGATTCTATTTACTCTTCATACCAAAGCGATTCGAGCCTCAAATAGTGATCGATGTATTCAGAGAAATTCAGTTTATATACCAGATAATGTTGCATTGCATATGGTTTCACCACAAATAAATAAATACAGTTCTGTGGTTCCAAATTCATTAAAAAATGCCTGTTTTTATAGTCACGGAGAGCTTGCCGATGAAAAAATCTGTTATTGTTCGATGGGAACATTCGGTAAGTTTTGTGAATACCAATTTATAACAATGAATACGTTTGAACAAACAATCGACTATCAATTTCATTTGAAGAAAAAATATCGCAACGGAAGTCAACTATGGGGCAATATCACATGTTATACAACGTTAATCAACTGCTATTCTGGGCTTCAATGTTTAGCTTGGCAGAATATATGTGATGGTAAGTTTAGTATATGGCAACTGAATCGAGAAACCAATGGTTACGAGTAGCTGCCTTATTCGACTTCTAATATAAATGGTAAAAACGAAAAGAAGTAAACCATAACCAATTAGCTAGCGATAGTTTTAGTTCTACTTATATATATATATATATATATGAGCAAATCGTATTTTGTTGTGTAATTGGCAAAAAACAAAAGTGTATTGAGTAGAAATTTAAGATCTGCATCTTATCCAGCATAATTTACATGCACTCTAAAAAAACGTTCTTTCCGTGAGCTTGAGAGAAGAGCCTTTTAAGGTTCTGTGCAAAACCTTAAAATATTTTTTAGTAAATCTCAAGGATTTGTAATTTTATGCGAAACGTTTTTAGGATTTTTTCGAAACTCTACAGCAGTGTCCTAGTTCCCAAGAGTCGGGAATTCATTGGGAATTGGGAACTCAAAATTGAATGAACTGTAACAACCCAGGTTGATCAAAACGGACTCGTTTACGGTCTGTTTGTCGACGGTAAACGATGTCAAAACGGTATCTTTACGGCAGTAAATAGGCCGTATTCGCCGGTAATACCTGGCGCAGCAANCCCCCCGGATGCAAAATTTCTACACTAAACACTTGAACACTCCTTTCAGGTCGCGTTTCACAAAAAGGCTGTTTCAATAGTATTAAAATGGTTTCAGATTAGGAAAACAAAATGATTCATGATCTAATCTGTTATATTTAATACTGTGAGCAATTTTAGTTCACTAGATGCACCCGAAACTGCGCAATGACGAAGAGTGATAATTTCTTTTGAGAGGTTTAAGGATTTTGATCTTTTTCATGCTACCGAATATTCTAAAAGCATTCAAAACTCTATTAGTCTTTGGTTGCATCAAATAGAAACTCGAGCCGAATTTCGAGTTGTTAGTGCACATTTTAGCGATTGAGTAAACTCGGAAACTTTTCGGTTTGCCTGTAGAAATATCTTGGAAACTGAAAGAATAATTTGATATGCCTCATTAGGTTTTGAGTCAAGTTTTCAATAGTGTAGGTTTCCATTATCGGAGAACAGGAATTCGAAAAATACTCTTAGCGCTGTAACTTAAGTTACATTTTCTGTTAGATCTTTAACTTGCGTGACTCCGATTGAAAAGCGCTTGATGCACAGAAAACTGTGCAAATCAAAACATCTATCTGTCAAATAATTTTCTCCATATTTCTTGTTCGAAAATAGTGAATTTCTAATTTAAAAGCATTAGTCTAAACAATACTTTGAAATGCATTGAATAATAATGCATATCATCAATTTCTACATTATGTCTGATAATGCATTGAAAAGTCAACAAATAGTTTATTATAAAGCATTAATTCATTTTTTTAATAATGGAAAATAATAGGTCATTTTCCCATTATTCATCCATTATCGGCTACATGGGTATGTATGCATATATATATAAATAACTAAAACTAAATCTAAAATTATTCATTATTATTTGGCAGTAGAAGTATATATCTCTGTTTATATTTGAGTTGAGATGGTGCAGTTAAAGCTCCAATTATATTCGGATTATAACAGGGCATATCATGGTCGTTACAGGTACGCAACAATGTATGGATGGTTTAGACGAAGATAATTGTGAAGAGTTAGAATACAATGAATGTCAAGAGAATGAGTATCGTTGCAAAGACGGTTCATGTATTGCTGAACAATATTGGTTAGATGGAGAATTTGATTGTTCGGATATGTCGGATGAACAAAGCACCAGTGAACACAATATGGATTCAGAAAGGTGTCCGCTAAGTTCTTCGCGTTTCAATTGTGATGAAATCACAGCAGGTTTGGAATATTTTGCTTGTGGTGATGGTCAGTTTGTAAGGACTCATCCGATACGAAGTGGATTTTGCTACAACTATAGGCAGAAACTGTTTTTTTGTGAGTATCAATGGCATTCGGCTGATCCATCACTGTGGACACTCGCGAATGGTCATTGTGTTGACAAAGTTGTGATGGAAAAAACGTTAACGGAAATGAATGAATCAGAAAAATGCGTATTTTTTCTTAAATGTAAACTAATGCATATTACAAGTGCTGATTGTGGACATGCAATTCACGATTTTCCAACACTCTGCAAAGATAAGAAAATCAACTATCCTACAGGGCCGTTCTTCAAACCCTACGGGCAAACAATCTACCAGATAAATACGCCACAATCATCAAATGAGCCAACTTATTTACATTTCGATGGAACTATAAAATGTATTGGTTATCAAGCACTCTGGAAAAGAGATAAAACACTTGTACGTTGGCGTGATTTCATAAAATACTACCCGTTTGATACTTTTTTCTGTCGTTTCGCTCAGCAGATCAATATGTATGGTCCACAGTTTGATAAAAATTGCTGGAATAGTACGAAACAGTCATTCCTCTGTCAGGAGAGTCATAAATGCATTTCAAAATATCGTGTTCTAGATAATATTCACGAGTGCTTCAATTCTGAGGATGAAAAAGACCCTCAAGGATGTCAAGCGAAAGGAAAGCATCAGTTATCGTGTCTTTTTGAAATACCAATATGCTTATCAACGTTTCAAATCGGAGAAATGTTCCCTAATTGCGACGACGGTAATGATATATACATAATACAACTTAGTCGGCTTTTAGAAGATTTTAAATGCAAAATATCGAATTCCATAGAATGTCGACTTCTCAAAGATCACATTCAATCGCCATCAGTAGTTTTAACAGCTTACAGAGGAGCAACTATAACATTTCGTCAGTTTTGTGATACTCTATGGGACTTACCGAAAGGCTTCGATGAATCCATGTGTAATCAATGGAAATGTCCGAAAGATCAATTTCAGTGTTTAAGTGGTCATTGTGTATCGTTATCTTCTGTAAAAAAACAGGAATTGAACGATTGGCATTGTCCGGATGCTTCAGATAAAGCTGGTCTGTTCAGAATCGTGAAATTATCGGCTCACAATGCCAGATTAATTAATAATTACGAGTTAGAAACTATTAAATCCGAGCGTCTCTTGTACAATACGTGGTTCGATGCTTTTAATATATTTTGTAATCGTACGTTAGAATATCCATGTATTCTAGCCAATGTCAATGAACCATTAAACTTCGCCGTTAATCGACCTTGTATCAACCTGATACGTATAGGCGATGGTGTCATTGATTGCTACGGGGGATTGGATGAGCGAAATGTATTGAGTTGTGGCAATAATACCTCACAACAACGTGGCTTTGATTTTCATTGCAGCAATGAACAGTGTATACCCTATAGTCAACATTGTACACAACGTTGTTCAAATAATGCAGATACTCTACTATGCGATCAACTACCAGCTTTAACCACATTATCGTGCCGAGATTCACAAAAATTGAGTTGTGATGCTAACTTTGGTGATGAATGCAAACCGTCGGGGATTGATGAGTTTTACTGTGACAATTCTCGATCCAGTGAGTTAGACATATTTTCTATAATGTTTAAAGTTCCTACAGTGATCTTTCTGATCTTATTAAATAGAGAAAATATCGTTTCCATTTGACTTTAAGTGTATCAACTTCTTTTGATAAAATCTCTTCAACTATTATTCATTCTTTTTCTATCCAAATGAATAGGTCGACGACGCTCTAGGCCTTATCGACATTCGGGATGGCAGAAACGAGAAACATTTGTTCATTTATCTGCATATCCTCAGTCACAAGAGATTGTTTCACCTAACGTCGCTCAGCTACAACAACGTGAAACGATCGATATCTATTCAAACGTACTTCAAACACAACAAGATGATGGCGAAGAAGGATGAATCTGTGGAAGAGGAATCGCAACTAGAACGAACAAAATTGGTGCAATGCAATGTTTTTGTCCTCCTAGTTTATTTGGTGAATACTGCCAGCATTTTAGTGATCGTATTACTGTCATAATCAGTCTCTATGACATACCTTCAAAGCTATCAGAACAATCGTCAAACATTATCAAAATTTTAGCATTATTATTATCTGATGATCAGACTATTGATCATCGAGTCATTCATTTGCCGATGATTCTTTCCAAAGATTTAAATAAAAAGTTTCGGTTTAATCTTATTCACCAAAGACCAAAACTATCACCGAAATCTTATACAATTCGATTTGAAGCGTACTACGTGAGTATTGATCTGTCCATCAAATTTCTTGCCGTTTGGGAGTATGCAGTTCAGTTTCCATTTTTACCTTCTTATCGTCTGGCACAAGTTCTGAAATTCGAAAAAGAAAGTATATTTTTGATGAAATCTCATATCTGTCAAACAGCTAATCCGTGTGGTCCTAGCAGCATATGCCATCCAATAATGAATAAACTTACCAATATATCAGCATTCTACTGCTATTGTAATAGTAATTCATTCGGAAAAATCTGTGAGCATTCTTTCTCAAGATTGTCATTACCTATTAATTGTTCTATACATGCTGTGTTACGTCCATTATCATTATCGACATCAATTTGTTTATGTCCGGCTCATTTATATGGACCTACATGTCATATAAATCATACATGTGAGTATCGAAATCCGTGTGGTGCTGGTCGGGGAAAATGTTTCCACAATCCTGAGAATATGACGCATGATTACATTTGTGTTTGTGATAAAAAATATTTTGGCTATCATTGCGAATTTGATTCTGCACGGATCAGAATAAACTTTACTAAATTATCATTTGTTCAATCTCCATCAAATTTTATTATGTCATCGATTATTCAATTATGTGATCTTCACAATGAAAGCCTTGAACTTATCATAAGAGAAAAACGTGTTTATCAAGGACTACCTCCACTTATCATAGACGTATTTCATAATAATCACTATTTGCCAGTGCTAGGTTTACTGAAACTATATCATAAACAGGATTTATCCAATGATTACCTGGCGAATCTTAAACAACCAGAATATTTCCTCTTACATGTAGTTTCATCAAAAGTATCACGAATAAACATAACATCAATGGTAGACATGGAGAATTATTGTCCGCATACCGGAAGTATCTTTCAGAAAAATATTTCTCACATTCAATATTTATCTCAATGTAAGTTTATTTCGTGCGTCAAATTGGTGAACATTATATTTTTTTCAGTCTTAAATTCAAATGAACCAAAATTTATCGATGATTTCAATGTGTCCATCATAATCTTCAAGTATCATCTACTCTGCAATCCATCCTATTCTCTCGTGTGCTTTCATGACGATAACTACTTCTGTGTGTGTGATATCTACGGTCATGCCGAATGTTCTCGTTATGATTCAATAATGGATGAATGTGCTGAAAGATGTCTCGCTGGAGGTCAATGCATTCGTGGTGATTTAGAGGATCGAAAAGATTTTGTTTGCTTATGTCCACGCTGCTATTATGGAAGCATCTGTCAACACAATACAGAATTATTTAGTTTTACTTTAGAAACATTGTTAACTTACGATTTGTATTCATTGTCTGTAGCCGTACAACAAGTTTTTTCTAGGTAAATTTTCTCTTCATTTAAGACAGGTTATGATATCTTGATTCTACTTCAGTCTCTTAATCATCATCCCGGCTATTTTATTTGTAATTGGTGCTCTAAACAATGTCTGTTGCTATGTAACATTTAATCGAACGAAACCACTCTTAGTTGGTATCGGACACTATTTGCGTACAGTTTCTATTATCAACCAATTGGCATTACTGTCATTGCTATTAAAACTCATTCATACTGTATTCAGCATCAAAGGTCACATTGTTCATCATACGATGAACACAATTTCATGTAAAATTTTATCATATTTTCTCTCATGTACAAGTCGTATGAGTTATTGGTTGATGGGTATGGTTGCCGTTGAACGAGTATATGTTACGTGGTACTTGAAAGGTACATGGCTAAAAAGTCCACGGATTGCTAAATGCATTATAGCAACTATCATTGTCGGAATAGTTGTAAGTAACATTCATGAAGTCATATTTTATCAATCTATTGAAGATCCAAAATCTTCTGACACGAATAATAGTACATGGTGTGTTACATCGTATCCATCAATCATTGCTACATACAACCAAGCTAATGTTATTTTAAATTATATCATGCCTTTCCTTATCAATTTTTTATCGACCATCATTTTAACGATTTTAATCATAAGAAAAAAATGGGCCATTGCAACAAAAAAAATAAGTGAGCATTCACATACATTACAAAATATGAGAGCAACATTTCATTCATACAGAAATCTTTTCACTGAAAATAAAGAACTAATTTTGGCTCCCTTAATTACCATGTTACCACAACTCTTCTCTCTGCCACAATTTATTCTTTCGTTCTCATTAGCTTGCCAAGAATTGAAAGTCAGTTGGCAACGTTATCTTCTGATTGTATCCTACTTCATAACATATCTACCACAAGTACTATCATACAAACTATATGTTTCGCCATCATCATTTTACAAGAAAGAGTTCAATCTAACAAAGCTTGGCAAAAAAATCACCAAATGGCAAAAGAAAATCGTAAAAAAAACAGAAACAACATCAGTAACACTTAATAAGTCGACTAACCAAGCAATGGCCACAATACAATGACCCACTGTTGGTTTACAGAATGAAATTTTGAGGTATTTCATTTCGTAGAAATGTCGAGATTGTTCTACTCCGCTTGCTTGTAGTGTAATAAAACTTCGTTGATTCGATTTGCGATATTATGTTTTAACCAAGGAAGAAAAAGCGAATCCTGGTAGAGGGTGGATGTGGATGCTCCGAAGACAGTGATTACTGTCTCCGGATCTTCTTGGGTGTGGGTGTGTCTGAATAAGAAACTAGATATGATGCAAGAGTCATATCCAACTTCTTTTTAGATTCCTATTGTTTCATAATATGACAAAATAATACAGCGCGATTGATGATACTTGTGTGCTAAATCGATGTGTGAAGGGTATGAATGTGATAAAAATGTATATTTGTAGATAGATTTTAAGTAAAATAAAACACATTGTGATAGTTGCTTTGAAAATCTTCATCAGGTATCTTTAAAATATATTGCTAAATAATTTAAATATATAGATCAATTAATTGACACATAATATGAATTAATTAATTTTTATTCCAATGATGGTCTTTTGGAAAAAAATCAACAAGGAATCAGTTAATTAATAAATATATAGTTCATAACTTAGTACAGTTTTAGAGAGTATGCTAGATGCTCAAACGATCAATAAATAGTGGTCATAAAGGTTCAACTTCTGTTTTTAAGTGAAAGATATCTACACAATACGTATATAGACAATTTTTTAATAGATATGTTATATTCTTCGATAAATGTTTGCCAACGATACACATGAGTAATCATTGGGAAACATTTATTGCAAAAAAACAAATTAACATCACAAAGATAAAACCCATTTTAAAACAATAAAAATGTTACCTTTATATGAGGTTGCATGCAAGAAAAACGAATAATTCTAGATAGGGGTGTGAATTTATTGTTATTGTTATTGATAACAAAATAACTTAATTTTTTGAAGAACCCTCAATTTGAATTGCTGTCTATCTCAACTATGCTAATTCGATTGGGCTATGTTTAAGGAACGAGCTACTACTGCTATGAAGATCATCGATCGAGACATTGGGTGGGTGTGGGTGTAGCTATAAGTAAAGAAAATACCCACATCCCACACCCACCCACATACTTAGATCAGTGTAAGATTTTTATTTTCCATCGATGCATCATTTTGTGAATATGGGCGATTTTTAAAAATAGCGATTGCGGAAAATGAGGAATTATATAAACCTTTGTGCCATAATCCTTTGCGGAGCTTTCTGATATTCTCGAAGTAGTAAAGTATCGAACTTGACTCTATGAAGTCTGTTCGCGTCATTTCAAAAACAGTTGCTAGTTCAAATGAAATACTGAATTGAATCGTTTCTGCTGCTTTGAAAGAATCTCACCAAAGTTCATTTATTCGTATGATGAGGCTATTGCTATACAGCAGATGCCAAGTCTGTAATACCAATATCTGCATATTCGTAAGTTAGAAATGCTTCGTGTCCTATGGGAACTGCAGTTTATTGCATGCTATTGGCTTAAAGAAATTTATCGTCTTTCTTTCCTTCTCAGTATCATAATCATGTTAACAACTCGTGCAAATAGAACATTCTCCAGATTTCTAAAGTCCAATGTATAACAGTGATATCTGACTTTTATTGCTTTTTTAATTTCTGTGTGCGAGCTGGCAGATATGTATATCAACATATGCATTGCGTGCAGAACAATGACTACGCCGCCCACAGAGACAAAAGTAGTAGATGATACGATAAGATTATTCTACATTAATACAGTAGTGATTAAAATTATAGAACCAGCTAGTTCGTGGATTTGGTTTATATTATTCTACCAATATGGCAGAGATGCAGTTCTCAAATCTACATAAGAATATTTCGCTCCGGTTTCTCTTTCAGAAGATATCTATCGCCCGTTCAAATATGACGTTACTGCTTGGGTGTGGGTATGGATGTGGAGAATTCATTCATAATAACAACCACACCCACACCCCCAAATCTCATAAATATAAGCTTAAAAAATTGTTTTTCGCTAGATAAATCACTTAGATGATGACTTCTCCGTAAAGGCAAATCTCTAAACTTTTTCTAGTCCAGTCTAGCAAAAAGTAAGCACAAAAAGCGTCGTAATATGTCCGATTAGTGAGAAAGTGACTTAATCACATAAGCAGATATGATTACCAAGAAAAATATGACCAGAATAAGAACGATCATCACCAGTGGGAACATAACGACTACCTTGATTGTATATACGACCATTATTAAAATCAAGACGATCACCATTATCGTAATAATGAACAATTCGAATTTTACCAGTATCAGTAAGGCGATAACCACAACATCGGCCATTACGAATCTTGAGATGGTCATAAATACGATCGTTGTACCAATGCTTTATATCTTCTGGCGACCAATCACGATTTTTTGCCTCCTGGATCGAGGTCTTTGTATCATTATTGTCCTTAAATTCCCAATCAGCGCACTTGTCACATTTAGGACAACTGCGGCCACCACATCCGAGTATTGCTACAGCCATCAAATCGGTTATTTGATTTCAAACTGAATTTTTTCACTTAAGCAGAACTACAATTCAATCTGAAAGTATCAGAACATACGATAAAATACCCTTATGTACCGATTCAGAAGTGTGAGTCTAACGACGTGAGAAACATTTTCCCCAGACTGCGAGACAACACAAATTTAATGGTTTCGAATTCTGGATTCTTTTCATTCGTCTATGAGTCACTTCAAATAAAGCCCGACGTAATGTCGTTAGAGGCTACTGAGTCATAGCCCTATATTAGTATGACGTACGTTTCATTTTATGGACCATATTTTCTCGGTAGAAAACAAATTTATTAATCCCTTTGGGCACCTTTCTGTGGAGGGTGTGGATGTGGTTGTTATTGTGAATGAATTCTCCACACCCACACACACACCCTTACTTCATTAGCTTTACATAAAACACAAATAGAAAATATTTCAATGAATTAGCGAGACTTGCCAACTATAAAAAAAACACTAGACCATAACCAGATTATTGACTTGAATAGTCCGAACAGAGCCAAAGTTTAAATATGACATCCATATCGATATCAATAATTCGGTTTAATAATCATGCAATAGAGAAAAATGATCGTATTTTTCGCGTTGAAATTATTTGCCAAATTGTTTAGTTGGGCAATCTGAATGAAAGAAACATACGTATGTGAAGGCTAGCTATAAGTAAATATTTCCAATTAATAATCTACAACAATGAAAAAGCACCTATACTGTTCAATGTAGAATGTAGCTTGAAGTGAAAGTTTATATATAACACGCTACAACGAAGAAAAGAAAATTATTATGTAAAATGTTGAGCTACCAGAAATGTTCTTGAGTTCTGCAAGTTGAACGAAACAAAGTGTTTTCAGATTTACATTTAGATTGAGAAGAGTATTTCGATCTAATAATTTACAGTAGAGGAAAGAAGGATATACAGTAATCCCAAATATAGATTTACCTGAAATATTGTTAAGGTGAACGACTTGGACGAAAAACGTTTTTTGAAAGTTGAATGATACCTGCAGCGAGTATTTTGATCTAATAATATAAAAGAAAGATATAGTTATAGTGTTAAATGTAGAATTACCTGCAATAATGTTGAATGGAATGATTTGAAAGAAATTTAACCCTTTCAATATAAAATATAACTTCAAATATAAATTCTAGTAATCTATGACAGAAGAAGAAATAAGTATAATTGTTGTCAGTAAAATTGTCTTATTTGTTCACCTCAAAGATTTGAAAAGCAATGTGAGTATTGAATGTAACTTGAGATAAATGTTTGAATTGTGTAATCTAAAACAGAAAAACAAAAATTGTCATTTAAAAGATAGAATTATCTGGCAAATAGTTTCGTTGGACAACGTGTAAAAAACCAATGATATTGGCTCTCAATATACATTCATATAAACATTGAATTTGAAAAGTCTATAATGGATAGTTGAGATTGATAGTTTTAAGGATAAGTGTACATCATGGAGGATTATGATGGCGAACTTAAAAGAAAAATACTTCAATTTTTCAGTTAGAGGAACCTATTAGAGGTATATTACGAAACGTGTGTGGGTTTCATACGAAACTTGACTCAACTTTGACTTTCACAAAAATATGGTACGAAACCTCTGTCACTTCAGAACCTTATAAAACGATCGCACCGAACTTTTTCTAGTACTAAACCTACAAAAAGTTTCGCAGGTCCATACCATAACTCTCAGGGTTTAATAAAGTACCACCTAACCTTAAAGGTTCCGTACAGCAGCTTAATTTTTTTCAGTGCAAAAACTACTCGTCCACGACTAGTCCGAGTTTTTGACCGTCATGCATACACGTCCTAGTACTCTGATTGACGGTTAGTCACAAAATCTAATAGAGTAGTCGTGGCGAGTGTCCCTGTCGCCCGTCCAAAGATGGTTTATGAATAAAAAATTAAGGGCATCTGGGACGAGTATACAACCAACTGTAGCCTTATATAGCGGACGAATCTGGACTAGTCTGAATGGAAATATGTAAGGATGAAGATTAGATTCGAACATGTATACAATGTGACAATTACCCATCGCCAGAACCGTTGAACCATATGATCGTGTAGTCATATTCTACACATTCATGATCATTCTAAGATGTTATTTAATACAATTTTTACTCCGAATTTCTAATTATATGTATCAATAAAAATAATCTTTTACCGAAACGCAATTAGTTTAAATAACATTAAATAAAAATAAATTAAGAAGATTTTATAATTTTTCCGACAAATATATTTTGATTTATAAGCACGTGCGATTAATTAGTTGGGTTTTAAAAACATTAATTTGAGTATAAAAATAAAAATAATTTATACCGGGAAGAAACTAATTTTTTTCATATTATTTTTTAGGTTAGTTTTAAATTTAAATCATCGTATATTCATCTAATAATTAAATTATTTTTGGTTTATTTTAAATTATTAGAATTGATATTTAAGATAAACTAACATAATAGTATTATATGAAAAGATTTAGATGCTTCTCAATTTTTTAAAATTTAGTACATCTCACATGTTGAAAAAATATATATATAAATTAGCACTCCTAGATACGAGATGAATTTTGTTGTTAGTACTAACCCCTACTATTTTATGTCTTGATACACTCTTAAACTTTTAACATATGCTAATGCAGAATAAAATAAAATATATCAAGATAGGGATGCACGCATTACATAAAATCTTTTCGAATGCACTATTGATTACAGCAGACTCTCTACTTGTCCTCCTAGCTAGAAAAAATTCGATAAGCATTGAGTAAAATAAACACTTCTTAAAATCGGACTAGCCATGAGGCGTTCAAAAGATGCTTCAGACTAGTCAATACCGTTTACGTCGGTTTGTTTCTCATTTTCTATGCATGGATGGGAGTCAATATATAAATTTAGACTATATATACTTACGGCAGTCTATTTCAGTATCCTAGTCTCCCGTCAGGATGTCCGTCACATCTCGAACACTGTCGGGCTGGATGTTCAAATCCACCGTATAATCTCTGTTTTTAATCTTCTTACAAGTCTGTACTAGGTCAACAGACAACACGGACTAGACATGTCGGCAGTCTCCCTTCATGTTTTGCTTACTTGGGATCTTGCATACTCATATATAGAAAGGAAATTTCTTTGGTAACTCCAGACGCAAAATAGAATGGTATACTTTTTAAATATTGTTTTAAAGCTTGAGCAAATCTGTATTGGGAAAAAATCCAAAGATATATCATGTTTTTATTTTTATAAAATAGCCAATGTATACAGTCTCATGTTACAAAATAGTGTAGAATTGCGATTTGCCAATTTTTATGCTAACAGAAGAATGGACGATTAAAAACAAAGCATTCAGTTTCATCATGCATACTAAGTTAAACTGTGTCTTATACTACACTCTAAAAAATAGGTTTCTTGCTGAACTTTAGTGGTTCTGCATATTTGCACTAAACGATTTCAGGTTCGGAGAAGTGGAAACCGTTTCGTAATAATTATGCAGAACTTTTCCAAGTTCAGGAGAATTAGCAGAGTTTTGAAATTTTGCAGCGGAAATTTTTGTTAGTTCCACAGGTTGGTATATGGTTTCGATGTTGATGTACTAAACCAATAATAGTTTTTTAAATTAAGTGAAGTTTCGTATAAAAAATCAACTTAGTGGCTGAAGGTTCCGTTCTTTTTATACTAAACAATCACAGATTTCATGCAACGTCAAAATGTTTAGAATTGTTCGTACTAAAGTTTTCGTCTTCATATTATTAATCTTAAGGTTTCGTATGTTTTTCGAGAAAAGTTCAGTTTCGTAGGGGTGATTGATGGTTTCGCACATATCATACGAAACGAGTTAAAGCTTTTTACACTGTCTGATGGATTTCCAGTTCTGAAAAAAGTACTTTATATCTCTCCTTAAAGCATTGATAGGTTTCATGCATTTCTCACAGAACCATATATGGTTTGTATACGTAAGCAAAGTTCTATTATGATTTTTCACCAATTTTGAATGTTTCAACATCACTTTCGGCAAATGATTTAATAAAGAGTATTTATTGTGTGTGTGGGTGTGGGTGTGCCTATAAGTGAACGCAAGATCCACACCCACACTGCACACCTTTGGGTAACAATGCAGAATTAACTTTGTTTTGAAATTTTTCGTTACGAGTGCCATTTGAAAAGTCTCGTTGCTGAGATGAAATATCGATATCATGGTAACTTAACACATCCACGCCCACATCCTGTCGGCTAGATATGCTCAAAATAAAGCTCAACAGTGCACCGTACGGAAAATTTTGAACAGTACTGTACATCCTAAGTTAGCCCTTGCCACCAAGAATAATTTAGATACGTATTAAGTAAGACAAAATTTTTTATTTCTTCACCACTGACAAAGATTTTGAATCATTCAGTTTTAATTGTCGATCACTATCCGCTTGATCCCTTAACCATTTCATTTTATCTCTGCTGCAAGTTAGATGACGATATATAATTTTGTAGGCTTTCTCCTTTTCACCATCACAACGATTCCTTTTTGCCCATTCTTCTAGCTCCGTAATACTTATGTTATTAGGAACATTGAGTGCTTGAAAAGCATTTTCAAGAACTTCGTGGTAATTTTTTGCAATCTCATATGCTGCTACCACTTTTTGAAACTCTTCTTTTGCAGATTGCTTATTTTCGAATTTGTCCGGATGTGTTCGTAGAGCTAATTCATAATAGGCTCTTTTAATTGTTGTCATCGTACTATCAGGTGTACAATTCAATGTTGTAAGAGCAGCAAGGTATAGTTTTCTAAGAGCATTCATATCTTCCTTCTCACCATCAGGAGCTAGATGTTTTAGAAATTTTTGATAGAACATTTCAAACCCCACACCCGTTACTAAACCGCCAGCAAGGGTACCAATTAGTGCGCCTGCAGTCACTGGCCACCCGAGAAATCCAAGATACATCATTAAAGTAACACCAAAGCATGATCCAATAGAAGCACCAATAGCACCAGCAGCTATAGCAACGGCAGAAGTCGTTAGTGACTTCAAAAATTGTTTAAAAGTTATATCACCACAGTATAATTGAATACATAAACTACCAAGCTCAACAGCAAATATTGCTGTACCAATAATTAAATCTGAACATTGCAAATTAAACGACAGGGTGGCAGTATCTGAAAATCGAACAATATCGCTACGAAAAACCGTTTTACTAAGTAATTTATTCATTTTTGGAGTTATATCTTTTACACTCTTGACCATAGCCTTTCCAAGATCATAATAGCCAATTAAACATCCGTCATGCCAAGCACAATGCTTGAATCGTAGATCAGATAGCCATCGACCGACATTTTTCGGATCTTCAGCAGTTCCACGTAAATCTAATTTAGAACTTTTATATTTCACTTCTAATTCTTGTTTCAATGCATCTTGTTCATAGATTTTTTTAGCACATTCACGAGAAAATCCCATATCACATAGTTGTTTCACTGTTCTTTCCGATCCATCCGTACACCATAACAATTGTCGTTCAGAATATATATTATGACGTTCACTTATACGAAAACTATTTTTAATATGAACATTTAGACTTTGAAACTCATGTAATAAATTATGTATGCCACCTAGAAACTGTGTAAAATGATCAAAGATAATTTTATCATTACCACAACTAGCTTGAAAAATACATGTTTTCTTGTCCCAATCCTCTCCTAAGAATGTTTCTAAAATAGATTTAGCTGTTGTATCAGTCAATTGACCAAAGAAACTAATGAATTTTGCTTTAAAATCTGTTTTTAATATTTCAGGATTATCTTGAAAATTAATTTTACTTAGCAAATGTAAACCGATTGGCGATTCATGATTTGGAAATAATAATTCACCTTCAATTTGTTCTAATTCAATAATATAATCACAATGGTAATCATCGATATCATCAAATGATTCGTTTTGATCAGTTTTTATCGAAAGAACCTTCCATCGCGAACAAAATGGAGTAACTACTTCACTCTCATCTTTGATGCAACTCCATTGTTGTATAAAAACACCAGCATTTACATGCATTTTAAATAATGTATGCTTATGAGTACGAGATGGGGGAGAAATATCCATAAAATAGAGTGCTTTATTCTTATCTGTTGAAGTGCTACAAATTCCTGCAAAACATACTTCTTGTCCAACAATAAATTTCCTTAGATCCGGAGCAACATTTATACCACGCCAAGTAATTCCATTAAATTTTGGTAAAGTTCGCAATGCTGAATCAAGAAGATAAATAGCTGGCCGCAAGCCAATAAGATTCTGTTCTCGTTCTCGTAAACATTTATTAAGTAAATAATAAAATGAATTTGTTTGACCTGTTCCTTCTTGACAATAGAGTGCTATCATGATTGCTTGATGCTCTGTAATACCGCCGTGACCAGATTTTTCCACAGTATATATTGCTTTTGGCAACTGAATAGCAATATCATTCATAGGTACATCGATAAAATATTGTTCACACATAAGTTGAGGCACAAATTCAAAATTATTAAATATCTCATTATGCTGAAAAGGTTGTGAAAAGCTATTATTTCTTGATAGTTGCATATTGGTGAATCGGGTTTTGAACTGTTGAAGACGAGTCTTTAGCAGTATTGGAATTTCAAACACATCCCAATCTTTGTCCTCTATTGATAGAAATTCTTCCATTGATGTTACACCAGCGTCAGTTAAAGTGGAGAAATATCTTTTCCAATTAGGAGTAGTTAATGCTTCTGCGTATAGAATACGTTGAAAAATCTTTGTGGATGAATCCATAATTCTGAAACAGTTCGTTAGAATGTAAATATTGAAAATTTTTCTGGTATAGATGTTTTTCTTGTCATGTACGCGACAATGACAAATTTATGTGTAATTTGTTTTCGGACTTCCCCACACGCGAAATGAAAATGAAAGAGTAAATATCGCATCGATATTTGACCAAATTCATTTAAATGAAAACATCTTACTTACTCAACAGGTGGACAAGCCTAATCGAATAGAAAATAAATATGACGATTTTATCATAGTGTAACTTATATGCTTCATATTTTTTATTTAAATGTTTTCTTTTTTTGGTTCTTTGTCTTGCATCATTTTTTTCATATGGGAAAAAGAAAAATCCAACAGGTCGACTCTTTTGTCCTATCGCCGTAATAAATTATCATTGAGTGACTATAACTGAAAAGATAATGAAACAAATACCTGTATATACAGGTACACGTGCAGGCAAAGGGGACAAGTGGATCGCGGGATTGTGGGATCGTATGGATCGCCACCGTATCCCGGATGCCAGAATATTATGAAAATAGAGAGGATCTGAAAATGAAATGATGTATTCACGAATCCGATTTTTTTCTTGGATAAAAACGGGGATGTAAAAACTACTGAGTATCACAGGTAGAAATTCATTTATGCCATTCTATAAGTCAATCGTTTTCAACAACAAGAGCATTAGTCAGAAAATGATAGACATCACAACCTGAGCAATGCAACTACGACTTAAAACCACGCTGATTAGCACTTAGGAAAACTTAGTTTCTACAAACTATAAGGAGTGTGGGTGTAGCTATAAGCAGAAGATACCCACAACCACATCCACACCCAATAAAGATTATTATCTATCTTCATTTTTTAAATAATAAAGCTTTATATATTTTTATTTTTGAATAATAGAAAATCTAGTTATTGATAAGGTAATCGTCTATTTAGTATACTTTCTATTATTACTGATTGTAAGAAAACCTTACCATAATTAAATGTTGGTTTGTATTCATTAGCTTATTTCGATTTGTTTCAACAACGTGCTTCTTTTGATTCAAACATTTATCAGAATTTATATTTTCATTTTTCTTTATGTATTCATTATAAATATCGTTACTTAATGCTGTTGAGTGAAGAACTGGATTTTGTTTCCAAGCAAGTTAAATTTTCTGATTTGTGAAAGAAATAAAGTTTCGATTTTTTAATTTTTTAGTTGCAAGGAACTTACTTTTACGTTTAATAGTACGATTATTTATTCAAAATAGTTTTTTCTGTTGATCTTCGTCGAAGTTGTGGAATAATGGCTGTTTTCATAGTGAAACAACAAACAGGATTGAACAATTCCTAATAAGAGAACTGGTTGTTGGAAGTGAGCAAAACTTGATATGAACACTCTAAAAATCAAGACGCTTCGAGAAGACGGTTCATGCGTCTGTTTTTCATTTATTTTGCTTAAGCCTCCCATGTAAACACGAAACGCAGAATCGATACGTTGAAACCCGGAAAACGGTTTTATAATGCGTTCCAATGAGTTTTCAGTATGAAACGCATTGAGACGCACTTAGAAAATTTTTGAAACGCATCTGAACGCAGTGTTTTAACACAACGCATTTAAACGTAATTTGAAATCAATATTAACCGCGTCTCATTGCGTTTCATATTGAAATCGCGTTTATACGCAGTTAGTCAAATTCGACTGAACGCGTTCAAACGCAGTGTAATATAAGACGCGTTTGAGCGTGTTTCGAAAAAATACGAGATGCGTTTGAGCGCGTTTCCGAACAAATATGAAACGCATTTGGACGCACTTTTGTTAAAAATCGCGTTGACGTGCAACTAATGACATCAGATTCTTTAAGATGTTCAATATAAGTAAATAGATCAAGTTAAATTGGCGAAGAAATTTTGTTTTCTAGAGTCTCTGTAAGCGATAGATGCTTGTTTCATTTTACCTCTATCTAAATTTAAGAAAAGAATATATGATAAATATTCAGATACAAAATATTCATAGCGTACATAAACCCAGAAATAGGTATCGTTAAGATTATTAAATCTATACATTTGCTTTCCATTCATTTAAATAAAAGTACTTTTATATATTGATATATTTACACTGCTTGTATGTTCGTGAGAGAGCTTTGTAAGAGTATCCAGCCCTAGACTTGGTCACGTTCGACAGTAATATGAGACACGAAAATCTATCAAGTTGCTGTTCTATTCTATTTGTATATTATCTGGTATTTGTAACTTTTATACNGTCGCGTCAAAACGCTTCGTTTGTTTCACTGGAGACGCATTTAGACGCGTTCGCTTCTGTGCGTTTCGCACGCAAATGGAACGCGTTTCAGACGCGTTTCGAGACAAAAAATATTTACATGGGCTCTAAAATCGATCATCCGTTGACGCTTGTCTCATCTGGATGAGACGCATGAACTGTTTTGTAAGACGCATATAATTTTTTAGAGTGAATTAAACTAATTCAAAGCCCATCGCACGATTAGTCCGCGTTTGCTTTTAATGTGACGAGAAATCTCAACAGATGTCCTCTTTGATCATATTGGTTTTGATGAAATTTTCTTATGATTTTTCTTTTTTTTCTTATTACTATGATGATTAGTTTTAGTTGAAAATCAAATAACATATTGATTTTATTTTATGTGAACTGATATTTTCAGATATTCGTGTTTATTATTGAACATGTCAGATTCTGATAATTTTTTTCCAATGCTTTAATACATAACGAAATATTTTTAATAATGTTGTCTGCAATCCTACTAACATTGATTAAATAATTTCGTTAATGAAAAATAAATGTTATTGTTGCGGTATTAAAATTTTAATTGTTTCTCCTTACAAAGTAAATAAAGTTTCGTAAAGTTCTGCTTACAATTGGAATATTTTCATTTATCTATTTGAATAATAATTGGCTTATATCTTAAATAATATTGTCGAAAATAAAATAGTATAGATTATTATCAATGGGACATATTTGGGATTGATAAAAAATTATTCAAATACTAAATATTTTGTTTTAAGAGTTCAAACAAGCTCGGGATTTTTTCTACAGATCCGCTAAATAAACAACATTTACATTTCTAGTCAAATGATACTATCGACAACGAGATTGTATCATTGGTTTTTTCGTGAATTTTCCGTGAACTGAACGTACTCATAAGGTTTCGGAGCTTATCTGACTTCATGAGCGAAGTCTTTGGTAATTCTTTCGATAGTAACTGTTTAAAAACTGACTGATTTATTTAAGTTAAGTTAAAAAGTGAAGAAAATATTCTTCTAAAAATAAATGAGTTGCTTATGTTACATAGAGAAAATAAAACGATTGATTTTATCAAAAGATAAATTATTTAAATAATGTTTTCGAAAATCGAATTCTATCAGAATTGGAATATATATTATCAACTATCATTGGATGTGAGTGTGTGAGAGTGGAATGTCGATATGAGTCAAAAGAGTATCCGTACGCCATTCACACTCACACCCGTTCAGTATCTCTTATGAGATGCCACATTACAGTCTTCTCCTGCAAAGAGCTACCTGAGATGTTATTGTTTAGCAATAATTTCATATGTGGATTGTTTGTAAGGATAAAAACTAATTCAAACGGTATTCGTATTTATAGGTTTCAATCCAAATGTTTCAAAAAGACAGAGTACACTTCTCATGAACCTTTGGTTTATTAAAAGAATCAAATAAAATATTAAAAACTCTCTCAAACTAAGCAATATATTACTTATGAAACTGTCAATGAGAGTTTTAGTAACTGAATCTAAATAAAAGGTCATCTAACAATCCACATCCAACTATACACAATTGCCAATACGTTGGATAAATTTCACTGCTAAGTTCGGTAACTATCAATATACCTCAATATTTATCATCATACACAAAGACATGGAATATAGCATTGCTAACTTCTTACGCCAAAATTTGTATGATTGTTTATTATTTATCAAACATGGTCACCCATTTCAGTAGAGGGTTACCAACGCTTACGTCGCGTTATTTGTTTTAAGTAACTTACTTTTAGACCGATCAGTTATCGGCAGCTGTATGGAGACTCATACAGTCTATACGAAACTATTAAGAACTTGTAGGTTTCCTGATGATGGTCAGTGTAATCACCGAAACCTTGAAAGAATAAAAATAAAAATTGAATTTTGAAAAAAATCGTAACAAATGTATTTCGTAGCAGTTATACACCGTTGCTTTTGGTTCAGTCAATTTCATTGTCGGTTCAAAGTTTTTATAACATTAATGCAATTCTAATGAACATGGTACTACTGGCACTAAATGTAAAATCGTTTTTAAGGTTTAAAATTGTTCCAAAAAAGAGATCATCAGCTTTAAATTTTATTCCTACAATGTTCAACCACCGGTTTTTCATAGCATTTTCTTTATACGAATTAAGGAAAAAAAGGAGGAAAAACCTATCTATTCTACTTCACACGCTTTTTATTGCACCCACCATTTCATTTCTAATGAGTGTTGGATGAAGTCGTTTTCTTTCGAAACAAAATTTATATCTTTATTGAAACATAATATTTAATACGTTACGGTATCACGAAGTCAATTTTTTCTCTATAACGTTGTTGAAATAACGATCATATAATTTCGTTTGTGGATCAGCTTTATATATGCGAGGTGATTTGATTGAATCTCTCCAATCTTTACTAAGTGTGAATTTCGTATAAGAATCAGTTGATTTTGATCCACTAAGATTTTCACGTGGCAAAATAGATGGTAGATAAGAATTTTGATTGCTAATTATAGGGGGATTCCCTATTCCTTCAAAATAAGTTGTTCGTTCTAATTTCTTAAATGAGTTATCAATAGCTCTAAATTCTTGATCAACATACTGTTTGGCTGATGAAACAGAATAATTGTGCTGATGGTGATGTCTTTTATCTTCATTTGTGAACTTATCATTGACGTTTTTATTGCGATGTTTCGAAGCGTCAGATGTTACAACTTGATTTTAATTTTTTGGGATACTTGATTGATTTATTAGTGGCATCTTTTAAAGACTGATGCTTTCTCGATAATGATCTTTGTCTTTTAATATTTTCATTCGACATTGAAGGCACTGGCAACGATGGATTCTTATTCGTATCGTTACTTCGTTTATCTAGATTATTGTTCTAAGTTTATTTATCATAATTCTTACGATGAGATTTTCGACTATGTCGACTTAATTTTGGTTTTGTATTTGCCATGGCAGGTTCCTCAATATATTGTGAAGGATCAACTGTATCATAAGGGATTAGTTGGCCATCATTATTTTGATGATGACGCATCATCCAATCCGGATTTTTAAGTTTATAATAATGCCAATATGGGTAATAGTTTTTGTCCATCGCAGAAGGTTGAGTTTCAACAATTGGAGCAACAGTACCTTGACCTGGTGGTGCTTTGAGAATACTTCTTTTATATTATTGAATTGAACAGCAAGGGATATCCCATTTTCTGGCAATTCATTATAAGCATATCGAAGAGTGTGCTGTTTTTTTTTTTGGTAAATTAGCAGGTGATAAGGGTGGTGAAACTAATTTTTTATTATTTGGAGTTAGTGACAAGTCTTTTCCATGTACAATCGGCGGAGAAGAGGAATTTTCTGGTATATAAACATCTCGATCGTAATTTATAACTGGTTTATTATTAATATTTGCTGGTCTCCAATCAGATTTTGGCGCGTTCCAATTCGTTAGATGTTCTTTTTTTAACTGGTAAGACATTGAGTTCACTATTCAGTGAAAAGAAAAACAATGAATGATTTAAAACATTAATTAAATAATCGACCTCAATGGGTAGAAGCAATTATTGTGAAAAGTATTAGTTCAATGATATATGAAATTCAATTAACTGATGGACAACATTGCAAACGTCATCAAAATCAACTTCGTCCTCGTTATTTGTCACAAAAGAAATCAATTGAAATAGAAAGTCTTCCCGATGATCTATTAAATACAAAAACAGAACCAAGTACTATTACTAATTCACATCCGTCACCACGATACCCTCGGTGAAATCGCAATCCGCCTGTTCGTTATTCTCCTTCGTAAATATCTTAAGGGGAAAGGTGTTGGTGATGTTTCCTTTCTTGTAGCATGTTATTTTCTTCTTGTTCTTTCTTTCTTGCTTCTTTCTCGCCACATTCTTCCTTTCTTTCTTCTTTCTTACTACATTCGTTCTTTATATGAATGGACATTGTTTTGTCCTTATTCTTTTTGTTGTGTGTTCTGTCAAGGTCAATCACAAGACGAACAATGACCTGGCTATTTTTATTGCATAATAGAAAATTACGCAATATTTTTTCTTTCTGCTTTTACATATCGAAAATATATAAAATACAGTCAGATAAGTTGTTATCTGTGATTGTATACAATTCTATCGTTAGGAGTTGTTTTAGTAATTTGTTCTTGTTGTTATTTCAAAACGTGGAATAAAAACATATATAGAACTTCGTTCTTATATATACAAGAGCAAATCTACATCTGCGAAACCATTTTAAAGTTCAGTGAGAAATTCGACACTTTCTTGGTTCCGTGTGGTGCTATTTTCCCTTGACTGAAAGGATAGGGTCTAGAAACTGTAATTCACCTGTCTGTCTGTCTGTCTGTAACAATGACACACACGACCATTTCTGTGGCAGAAATGACCATTTTTATGACAGTACGGGCATTGTTACGGCACAAACCATGGGTTACTGCAGGGCGTGCTCACGGGAAACAGTCCGCTCTGGATATGTGGTCAGTGGAGGGAGCGAGCTGATCCTCCAACGGAACTTTTAGCTAACCATCACGATATTTCTGAACCCTGTATTTC